TTGTCCATCCTCGTCACATCGTTTCCTGTGTAAATACACTTCCATATGCATGACAAGAGCACATGGCATGCTTCGAGTTCCGAATGCGGCACAGTGCTGCACAAGTCAAAGTAAGTTTACCATAGGCTGTGAGTGTTTGCTTAGTTTTCTTCTTCTTATCACTCTTCTCTTCAATCCATCACTTGGCACAAATAGTTCGACAAACTGCACCTCGCTTTCTATCCCGAAGGGGTGTTGTCGTCGGGGCCAAGCTAGGCTGTTTGAGGACTGGAACATACGCCTCCGAAAATACAACGGGCGCAGAACATTTGCAAGCAAACAAGAAAGCAGGGTCAGATGGAAGTGCACATGGCGCGACGATTGGAGAAGCTTTGGGTCGATGGCACGTTAGATGGGTCCGCTAGGAGATGGCGCAAATAGACAACGTACATCGTAGTGTATCCCGATAAGGCTGTCAGAGTGGCAGGGTCGTATCTTTGTGAGCAAGGTGTATTGGATGTAATAATACCAGCCACGCAAAAGGAGAAAAAGACAAGCGAAAATAAGAGCAGTGGGTGGTCTCGCCTAGAAGCGGAAACATTCGGCGGGGAACTGGGGTCCGATGCTATCCTCGGTCGTTGCTGCCTTCTTTTGACTCTTATTTGCGGGTGAAAACAGGGGCCCCGATGCAGCCAAAAATAACTGGAAAGAGCGGTAGCTGCCAAACAGGGAAGCACGAAATATATCTACTGTGTCAGCAAACAAGAACAACGAAGGAGCGTGATATCGTGTTCGAGGGATGGTCTCACTCCGCTCTTTCTTGTTTTAAGGTGCCACTGGTTGGGGGCCTTCCTTGCAGGTACAACAGAGTCGTCGTTGGGTCCAGGCCCTCCTTCCTCCTCGCGCAATTTCAACATTGGCGCTCGCAGGGGTTGCGAGGGGAAGGCGCGATCTTGGCAAAACACAACCACAAGGGGAAACACCAACTGGAAACAGGCACAACATGTCCAAGTGCTCCTCCCTAAAAAGAGCAATTTACTGCCGTATTTGACCCATTTACGGCGCCCGCCCGACAGACAACCACAGAGGGCCACTCCTGTTCACGAAAAACGAGCCGTGCCAATAGCATCCTGCAGGCCAGTATGCGCTTTTCTGCACACCATGAGGGGCGCCGATAGGAGATATGCACCCAGAACGTGCAGATCCCAATCGGTAATAAGAGGCAGGAGCGGACGAGGGACCAGCTTTGTCTTTCGTCCGGGTGGGAAGGTACGAACGAAAGAGGGATAATGGCACGGCAGGAGGCCATGGGACGGCTGCCTCCCGTATTTCTTCTTCCACTTTCCCCTCCTTGGCCTATTTCCAACCATTTTCCTTTCTTTTCTTGTTTCGATCTCTCTCTTCCTCCTCCCTTTGTTTTCTCTCTTCTCACCGCTTCACCACCGTCCAAGTCCGTACTCAGACCACATCGTCGTAAGTCGCCACAAACTAGCTTCGGCGCTTCCCGACAGAACCAGCGGTATCGTTGTACAACAACCGGCACCGCTAGCGAGGCCGATACGTATAGCTAACAGCCAGTGCCTCGTCAGCTTCTGTTCACCGTCTTCTCTCACAAACAAAACCATCTCCAACCGCAACCATGCCTGGTGTTCGTACGTACAGCTGCTCTCCGCCCAGACGATGTGCTTGTGTCTTTTATTGTGGTTTCTGTTGTCTTCTGCCTTTGTATCAGGGGCATTCTTGATTTGCAGCGCTTATTTTGATTCCATCCACTCCGCTCACCGCTCCAACGTCACTAACACCAACGAATTTGTCCCATAGCCGTCGACGCGCTGGATAACTTGAAGGCCAAGTTCAAGTCCATTTTCAAGTCCAAGTCCAAGGCCGCCCCTGCCGCTGCCCCTGCCGCCAAACCCACTGAAGAGGCCGCGAAGCCTGCTGAGGAGGCCGCCAAGCCCGCCGAAACTGCTGCCGCACCGGCTGCCGCTGACGCTGCTCCCGCTGCTGCTGAGAGTGCTTCTGCCCCTGCTGCCGCCCCTGCTGCTGAGGCCGCGGCTGCTCCTGCCGAGTCTGCTCCTGCCGAGGTTGCTGCCGCTCCCGCCGCCGAGGCCGCTGCCGCGGCTGAGCCCGTTGCTGCCGCTCCTGCTGCCGCTGAGGCTGCTCCCGCGGCCGAGGCTGCCCCCGCCGCTGCTGCTGAGGAGGCCAAGCCGGCCGAAGCTGCCGCTGCCGGCCCTGTTCCTGGTACGTCGGATGCAACCTACATATACGCTGAATTTTAAATACGATGCACGCAACACGGCTAACAATATCTGCAGCTGCCGCATAATTTCCAGGACGAGCGACAACCAGCCGCAATGTGGTCGTACCAAGAAGCTTGACGAAGCCGTTTCACCAGAGGCTTGTAATGCGACAGGTGGCGGGAAGCCAGAACTGTCCGTTCTTGCTGGCCCTGCATCCCATTTCTTTCTTCCTTTCCTTTCCCTGACACTTTTATGATATCCAGACTTGTTGTCCCTTTATACCCTGTTATTTTTGACAAATCTCTCTTCCCAGATACCTTTTTGTCGAATACCATTAGATACCCAGACAAAACAGATACCCAGACGAATTCAAAGATGACACTTACATAATCAAGGCTCGTTTTGTTTCCATTTTGTAGGTTGCTCTTATTGAGGTATATTAACGTACTCCTGTTTATTTCGCCCATGGAGCCTTTGTAACAACTGCATCCTGTCCTGCGGCAGAGCTCTCTGCACCCGGCCGCGGGAAGGCAGTCGGTGGTGGCGGGACCCGAGTGGCCGTCACGGGGCCCGTAGAACGTGCAACACCGGGTCGGGCCGTCCCTGCAGGCACCCGTGAGTAGGGAATGCCAGGTCCTGGCAAGCTGCCGGGCACGGCACCTGGCATCCGCGTGGCTTGTGCCCACGGTGCACCTGTCGCCACCGGTGCAGCTCCGCCGGTCGGCCCTGCCGATGTTGTCGGCGCCGTTGCTGGGGTCCGGAGCGACTCTGCCACGGCGGCCGTCGCCAGTGGATGGTTCGTCATGTGTACTGTCGGCACGGGCGCCGCGGCCGCCGCGTCCTCGTCCCACGAGAACAGCGACCCAAACACAAAGTGCTGCACGACGGGGAACTTGGACAGCACCTCGGCATTGAACATTTTGATCATGCCCTTGTTGATCTTGCCCCAGCCGTCCTGGATGCCCGACACGTCGTACAGAATGGGGCTGTGCTCCCAAAACGGCCCCCGCTTCACGTCGTTGATGAAGCCCACGGCCGAAAAGTAGAGGTTGCTCTCGCGCTGCGCGGCGACCACGTCCGGCTTGACAATATCCGCGGGCTTGGGCACGCGCGGCGCGGAGCCGTCCTGCGGCATGGCCTCGCGCCCCAGCAGGCCAATGGGCCGCGTCAGCTGCGCCGACCCGAAGATGTAGGGCAAGAACGAGTGGTCGTCGAGGCCCCAGACGCCGTGCGAGCCGGCGGGCTCCAGCGTGTAGGTCAGGATCAGCCGGCGTACCACGCGCAGGTACGGCTCGAGCACGCCCAGGACGAGGCTGCGCTCGACGGCCTCGCCGTCCGCGCCGGCGTCGCCGTCGGCAAAGACGCCCAGCTTCCAGAGGCACCCGAGGAACGCCAGGAAGCTGAGCTCGTGCCCGGTGCCGTAGTCGAGGCGCTGGGCGCTGCCAAAGGCGCCGAGAAAATAGGCCCTGATCTCGTCCATGGCCTGCGCGGGGTTGGCGTCGTGCTCGGTGTCGTGCTCGGCGTCGTGCTTGGCGTCGTGCTTGGCCTCGCCAGAGCTACCGCTGTCCCGTTCCGTTGCGGCAAACCCACGACCCAGTGTGATGTACTCCTCCAGCAGCCCGCCCTCGACGCGCTCGGCCACCAGCTGGTGCCACGCCCGGAAACTGACGTTGCCAAACCGTCGCGGACCCGGGTCCGGCGGCGCCTCGTCGATGATGGCGGCGATGCGGGCCAGCAGCGTCTGCAGCCGCTGCACCGACGGCGGGTCGTCGCTGCGTTTGGGGAATTGGAGGGTAAAGAGCGTCGTGGTAGACGGCGTCGGCCGCGCGGCCGCTGCTGATGATGCAGCAGGTACAGAAGCTGTGTCTGTCGATGTCGGTGGCGGGAGTTTCCGTCGCGGGCATAGCGAGTGGTTCAGCTGCATGACAAACAGGCCAATGTCGCGGTAGGCCTTGGAGACGAGGAAACGGGCGACGTCGGGCCCGTCGTTAATGCGTTTTGAGGGACGGAGGAAGGTGTGCGGGGCTGTGTCACTGTTGGGAGGAAGGACGTCGAGCTTCGGCATAGACGGCAGAGACTGCGTGGTCGTTTGTGATGGCGACGGTCGAGGTGGAGGAGGAAGCAAGTTGGAAGGCGATGCAGTTGACGCTGTTGGCGCAGTTGACGTAGCGGCAGGCGGTGCCGGCGCCTGCGCCGGCGTGCCAGAGGCGCCTAGAGTACTCGAAGTCATCGTAGCTCGAACGTAGAAGACATAGACAACTACGCTCGTGGACCTGAAGATGTCTCGTGAGGTTGTTGATGGGTTTGGAGACAGTGAGATGGAAAAGAGTGAGTGCGGGTAGAACTTAGTCCTCCTGTAACGTGTAGGACCCCACCATCAGTAGGACAGAGATGACGCCAATGCCTAGCCTAATACAGACAGCTTGGCCCCACTAACTACCAACTAACACTGCCTGACAGCTTCGTCTCCTCTAGAACTCAAAACTCATCTTCATGCACGTGAAATTGCTTCGTTTCCGTTCCTTCTCGATTACGGTACACATTATTCATGCCAGTCGCTTTTGAACGATATCGCTTGTAGTATTACAAAGCTAGTAGAAACATCCAAAAAAAATCTAAATGAACAAGTAGCCGGATGCCTGTTGTATATGCCAGAGGTATATTATGAAAAACAAAGGAAAATGAGAAAATTTGGGAATTGGAAAAATAGACAAATGCAAACATGGCCTGTATATGAAGCAAGATGAAGATGCAAGATCAAAAGACGACGAACAACGTCTCTTAACGGGACCCAACCTTCCACCACTTCTTTTTCCGTGCCGCGGCCGCTGCTGCCGCGGCCTCTTCTTCCCGGTGGTAGCCCTCCTCCTGGATGTTGTGCCGGCCGACAATCTCCAGGAACACCTGGTCCAATGTCGTGGGACTGACGCTGTAGTGGTCGATGCCCAGCGCTTGGCGGTGCTCGTCAAATAGAACCACCAGGCGGCCGATGGCGCTCGTGGTCGAAGAGGCAGACGCGAGGTTGAGGGTGCCGGGACTTGTCGTGGTGGAGGTAGCCACATTCTTTTCCGACGGCGTGGCCCGCGAGCTGCTGTCGTCATCAAGATCCAGCTCCTTGGCATTGTTGTTGTCGTTGTTGGATCTGCCACTCATGTCGCCCAGTGGAATCGCAAACCGCATTTGTCCGTGGTACGTTTCCTTGTCAATCTCCACGCCCGGCAACGTGTCCTGCACCCACTGCCGCAGACGCGCCGTGTCGGCGTCGGACGTCCGCGGCGCGCCCCGGATCACCAAGTGCACGTACAGCCGGTTGCCAAAGCGGGCGCGCAGGTCGTCCGTGTCGCCCGCTGCCAGCATGCGTTTCGCCAGGATGCCCGCGCGGCCCGCCAGCGCGTCCGCCTCCTCCATGGAGTGGGTAGTGAGCAGGATGGAGCGGCCGGGGACGGTGGCCGCCAGGGTCCGCCACATGATGCGCTTGGCCGCGGCGTCTAGGCCGGAAGAAGGTTCGTCCAGAATGACGACGGCCGGGTTGCCCATGAGGGCAATTCCCAAACTGAGCTTGCGCTTGTTGCCGCCGGACAACGCAAGGGCCTGGCGGTCGCTAAAGGCGCGCAAGCCAACAGCGCGGATGACGGCCTGCACGTTGTACTCGACGTCTTCGATGCCGCGGACGCGCGCATAAAACCGCAAATGTTCGCGGACCGTCATTTGGTCGACGGCATCAAACTGCGGGCAGACGCCCAGGCTGCCACGGGCGGCCACGAGCTTTTTGGTGACGGACAGACCCTCGACAAAGACGTCGCCGTCGTCCGGCTTGAGGTCGCCGCGAATCACGGAGATGGTGGTCGATTTGCCGGCACCGTTGGGCCCAAGCAGCGCAAAGACTTCGCCGTGGTTAACGTCGAAACTGACATTGTCGACCGCGGTGTTGCGCTTAAACGTCTTTGTGACATGAGACACGCACAAGCCGCGGTCCGGGGCCGGCCCCTCGCCAACACGGCCGGCATCTTCGGGGAAGGCGTCTCCGTCAATGTCCACAAAGACCTGAGGCGTCGCGCCTGTCGACTTCTTGCGGCGCAGCATCTTGGTGAGGCGGTAAAAGGACGCGCCAACATTGCCGCTGTCGAACCAAAGGAGGACGCCAAAGAGGAGGATCGACTGCCAAATGAGATAGAAGATGGGCCCTCCGTACAGCGTGAAGCTGCCCGGATTGTTGTTGATGACGGTGCCGTCACAGGTGACTGAAAACAAGTTGAGGACCACAAAGAGCGACCGGATGACGGACCCAATGGGCGCAAAGGCCGAGGCAACAAAGTGAACAACCAGCAGGTCGGCATCGATATGGTTGACCGGTGCATAGGTGATGGTGGCGAGGTACGCAATCATGTACACGAGGAAGACGATGGCTTGGTAGGCGGCAGTGAAGGCGTAGGCTGTCAACTGGTTGCGGGAAAAGAGCGAGATGTTGTAGGCGAGCAGGGCCGACGCCAAGCCGTACAGGGCGAAGATGAGGAAGAGGTAGCCGACATGGTACCAGACACTTGACAACGCCGCAAAGAGAATGGTCATGAGCGCCGACGACACCAGGACAATGGCAAGGTCAAATCCCACGTAGGCCATCCAGAGCGGCAAGGCGCGCACGCCGTTGGAGTATTCGAGGCCGCGGACGTGGCGGCGCCGCTCGAGGTTCGGGTAAAGGGAGAAGAAGCCCGGGTAGGCGGCGCAGGCCAGACAGACATACACAAGCATCTGCAGCGAATTGCCGGTGCTGGGCGACCAGGGAATGTCAAAGTCGGCATATCTAGCGGATATAGACAGATTGGCCAGCAGCGCGTTCATCAAGTTCTGGCCAAAAAAGGCGTTCACGTGGTCGAAATAGTCGCCCAGGTAGGCCACGGTCGGCGGCGAGCTGCCGTCGCCCAGCCAGAGGCCCGCGGGCGTCACGTTCCTGCGGTACTGGAGGATGAGCTCGTTGAAGTCGTCAAAGGTATCAGCCAAGGTGATGTTCGTGAAGATCTGCGCGATAATGGCAGTGTCGTTACTGCTGCTGCCGGTGCCGCCATTGCCGCTACTGTTTGTGAACATGGGCGTGAATAGGTCGATGACGGCGTTGATGTCGCCGAAACGAGCCGCAGGGCCAGCCACGAGGAAAACATAGTCACCGAAATCTGCCAGATCCTGCGGACGGTCATTGGACAGCTGGTCGGCCGAAGAGCAGCCGACGGGCTGTTGGTTCCGCACAAAGAGCGTGACGAGGCCGGCGGCAAGGACCGGGATGGCCAAGGCCGCCGCCGATGGCACCCAGTTATGCTTGAAAACGACAAATCGCTTTCGGAACAGCACCAAGGCCTGCTGCCAGTAACCGATCCTGCGACCCGAAAGCAGCTTTAGACCGCTGTTCCCGTCGGCGTTTTGGATGACGCCGTCATTGCTGTCGTTTGGTACTAGCATGCCGGATGCAGCCGGCTTAGCTTCGTCAGACGCCTCGTGCTTATCACCAGCAACACTGGTGCTGCTCTCTTTGCCCTGGTCGGGCCCGGTGCCGACCGATTGGCTCTTTTCGTGCTCTTCCTGCTCCTGTTGCACCTCTTCGGCCAGCTGCAAGAAAACATCTTCTAGGGTCGGGCCCGAGAAGCGGTAGTCGGTCACGCCGGCAGCTTCGAGCGTGCGGATGACTTGTGCGGCCTGGCCAGAAGAGGGTGCAATGTACGTCACCAAGTCAAAGTAGTTCTTCTTGACGACGCCCTCGACATCGGGCAGGTCGCGATCGCTGCGCACGACGACAGCGGCCTTTTCGTTGGGCTTGGTCTTGTGCACGTGGATGCGGTAGCCGCCGCCAAGGCGGTCTTTCAGAGCGACCGACGAGCCGTCGGCGCGGAGTGTGCCCTTAGACAGGATGGCAATGTGATCGGACAACAAGTCTGCCTCATCCAAAAAGTGGGTGGTCATAATGATGGTGCGGCGGCCGCGCTCGGCCAGAAGAATATCCCAGATCTTGCGGCGGCTCAGGGGATCGAGACCGCTCGACACTTCGTCGACACAGCACACGGCGCTGCCGCCCGTAAGCATCATGCCCAGTTGCAGTTTGCGCTGCTGGCCGCCCGAGAGCGTCTTGGCGCGAGCGGTGGCCTTGTGCTCGAGATCGATAGACTTGATAAGGTCGCGGATCTCCTCGCGCGACGCGCGGTTGAAAGGAGACTTGAGGCGGTTGAAAATGTGCAGGTGCTCTTCTACGGTAATCTGGTCCCACATGACGTTCTTTTGGGGCGCGATGCCGAGGCCGCGCGTGCCGTCCAATGTGATGCGGCCGCTTGTCAGCTTGCTTGTGCCGGCTATGGCATCGAGCGTCGTACTCTTGCCGCTACCGTTGGCGCCGAGCAGCACTAGAATCTGACCGTGAACAGCGGACAGCGTCAGCTCCTTCACGGCATGCACAGGCTCCGGTGCCTTCTTGGCCCAACCAAAGGCACGCCGCAGCGGGCCAGGGCTGTAGGTCTTGCTGAACGCGTCCAGCTGAAGGGCCGGCAGCGGGTTACCGTTCGCGTCGACACCGCCGTCGTCAGGACGCGTCTCGATGGTGCGGCCGGTGGTGATGGTGCCGTAGAGGTAACGCTCAATATATGCCCCGATGATGGGATAGATGATGATTTGCAAAAGAAGGAAGACCCATAGTACAATACCAGGAAGATGCCACGGACTGTCAGGCGCTACCTCCACAAGGTTGATAGGCCACTCTTTGCGCTCCCAGCGCGCGACGTTGGTGACAAAGTACACATAGTTGCACGGCGCAAACAATAGGCTCAAGACGGTCACGGTGGGGGTCGGCGGCCGCGTGAGGGTTTGGGCGATGATGGCCAACAGCAGATAGACAATGGTGACGGACACACCGCTGAGCTGCGAGCGGCGGAAAAGCGAGGCGCCAAGTAGCGACATGGACGCCAGTGCCAGGCCGACGGTGACGTGGTACAATATGATGACGGCGGCGTTGGAGTGGGCAAAGACGCTTGCCGAGACAATAGCCGACCCCAAGACCCAGCCCGGCAGGTAGAGGGCGACAAACGACAAGTGATACGAGACAAGACGCGCCACCTGGGCCTCGCCCCAGCGGCGGCCGCCGTCCGACGTGGCCATCATGGAGTCGAGGAGCGTAGCCATGCCCAGCTCGCGCTCGGTGGCCACGAAGCCGGTCAAGTGATAGCAGATGCCAATGACGCCTGAGATGAAGGCGACGGCCAAGAAGTTGGTCAGCGAAGCCTGGTACTGCACACGGATCTCGTCACTGCGCTCGGCGGGGGTGAGCGACGTGAAGGGGTATTCGTGGACATTGCCGTTGGCAATGACGTTGTTGCTGGCGGTGCTGTTGGTCTGCTGGCCGACAATGGTGGCATCGATGGCGTGCTGGAATGGTAGCATGTAGACCTCGCCGTCGTTGGTGCCCTTGTCGACGTTGATCTTGCCGGCGCCGAGCGAGCCGTCGAGCCGAATGTCGTACGTCCAGATGCCGCCAGAGCCTTCGTTGGGCGACGCAACGAAGAACACAGCGCCATAGCACGTGGTCACGCCGCGCAGGCTGCTGTGGCAGACGGTCTCGATCTGAGATTCGTTGGCCAGACGGACGGCGATGCTGCCGGCCTGCTCGACCTGGGTGGCGACGCTGTCAATGACGGCGTCAATGGCACCGCCGGCAAATCCTCCATTGTAGAATGCGACGGTGTGTCGACCGGTAATAGCGGCATCGGCGAGGGCATCGGAGAGGGACAACAGCGGCTTGAGGGTACCGACGCCAAAGACAGCTGGAGGGACGAAGAGGTACTTGGCAAAGGAGAAGAAGGCGAAGAGGATGAGAGGGATAACGAAGGCGCGGATGACGGTGGCGAGCGGATTCCGGATCAAGACAATGCGTATGTTCTTGCAGGAGAGCGTCCAGACCTGGCGGAAGAAGAGGCCAGCGCCCATGGTGAGAGAGCGGTTCCGGTCCTTGGGAACGGGAAGGTCTGGCAGAGTCCTGGATCCGAGTGGACGTAGCGGGGACAACGGAAGGTTCGGGATTTAGGAGCGCGCCATGTGTTGTTTTTTCTGCAAGGTATATTGCAAGAGAGATCGCGATAGTGAAGTGTCGTCAAGTTGCGGTCACAAGAAGCGAGTGTTGTTGGAGTTGCCACGCGGTGTCGTGTACGAATGTATGTAGGCCGTTTCGACGAGCGTGGCGATCGTCACGCAGGGGTCCGTTTCGGATTGGTTGTCGGGGATGTCGTACAAAGTTGCATCGATCTACGATGCAGACTCAGTTGGGACAGTCGGAATTGTTGCAGTTGTTCTATTGACAGATTGTCATAGGAAGAAGAGGCAAATCAACAAAAGCAGAAACGAAGCAACAACAGCGAGAGTAAAAAAAGAGCAAGCGTGCTGAGAAGCGTAAATCGGGAAGCGGGAGAAGATTCGAGCCGACCCTTTTTTCGTCCACGCCGCCAGTAATCTCTGTGGAGCAACCAAGAGCTACGCCCGACGACGATGACGACGGCAAGACGAAATGTTCATGAGCCAGAGGTAGGCCAAAGACGTTTCCGGGCGTCGAGCATGCAGCATACGTCCGTAATGTGTCGTACTGAAGTGCGGAATGTAAGAAAGTTCGAGTGTTTTTCAACGATCTGCAGCGGAACGAAGTGGTCCCGGTCGAAGGCTCCGTACTTTTGGGGCGAATTCCCCAATTGAGTCAATCTAACCAAATAGGCAGCGCCCCGGTCGGCGGGCGGACTTTGTGGTTGAGGTGTAGCCCGTATTGTCGGGGGTTTCGCTGCGTCTGAGATCTCCGAATCTCGAAGCAACTTAAAGCTCGAAAATTGTTTTTCTTGCAGAGGAAGAAAATCGTGAGGATTTGTCGAATAGAAGGGGAAAAAGGGAGAGTATGGGTCTATAAGTAAAAACAGGAAGGAACGACAACGTGCCCGAGTGAGAAGGCACGAACCACTGCTGCGTACAGAGTGTTTAGCTCGATTCTTGAGGAGATGCCTGAGATAGCCTCGAATAATAAAGGAGGGATGCAAGAGAGAAGACCGTACATTCTGATGGTGGACGGGGAGGCAGAATATGGCCAAGGCCCAGCCAAGACGTCCTGACAGAATTCACGGAAAGTCCAAGAGAGCCTAGAGCAGTCGCTCCTGCCAATTGTTGAAGGCGCCGAGAGCAAAGTACGCGTAATCAACATGCTCTTTCCTTCTTAACGCTGGTCGCTCTTGCCCTCGTGTCTGTTTTCGCGCTCGCGCAGGTTTGGAGTCGTTTTTTTGAAGTGGTGGTTGCCTCCTGTGCATTGGCCGTACACCATCGCGCCTTGCCGCCCAAGGGCGATACAGCTAAGCTATGCGCCACAACGTGAGAAGCCAAAAGAGGAAGCCGCGAGGAATGCGTTATAACAAACAAATCGGGAGAATGCCCATACGAGGACGAATCGCATCAAGGCAATTATTGATGGGCTAGCTGTCAATGATTGGTGCAGCATGTCAACTCTCCAGCAACAACAGCTTGCAAACACCTCGGGAAGTCTTGTGGCATAGCGCAGCCAGCCCACAGCGCCACGCGAACAGCCAAGTTTGTGAGCGGCTCCAGGAATTTCGGGCCCAGACCAGCGCTTATTGAGCTACGATCTCATGGAGAGCATTTTCCCTTTGGGGGCTTTGTTGATGAATCCTGTGAGACAGTCCCGATCCAGCTCATCGGGCCCGCCCACAGTCCCCGTGATCGGAGGCCGTTTCTTTCAAAATCGGACACGGGAGGCGGTCAGAATGCCGGTCGGCGCGGAGGGGGGCTTCCTACTTCTCAATCCGGAGCAAGCCGATGCCCAGCTGGGCAGAGTGTCCTTCTCGGAGCATAAGACAGGGGAGGGGATGGAAATACGACGTAGATGGACAAGGACAAGGCATCTTGTTGCTATCACGAACTTTGCCGTCGACTCTTCGACAATCCTAGGGCGCGCAACACAAGTGGGGAACGAACCCCAAGACGAACGACGGGAGTGGCGTCGATATGAGAGGCACAACGGTCGCTCAAATACGCTCGGACCAGGGTCTGAGCTTGCTGCAGGTCCGAGGGGCTTTGCTGCTGGGGCGATCTCACCACAGCAGTGGCCTCCCGTGTTGGCTGCGACTTTCAACCTATGACGAGTCTCAATTTCTGGGGCGCCATGCAGTCCCAGAATGCTTCAAGTACTGCGAAGCAAGCACTCTTTTACGGACGCCGTGAACACCGATGAGGTTGTGGAAAACAGGGGCTGATGGGCAATGGCGAACATGGCGACAACTTATGTGGTGGATAAGAAGCACACCAATTGCCAACCCCTGGCTACTGTTGATCTGTTGATGTCCATCACCGCACGGGGCTCCCCTCTTCAAGGACGCGTTTTTGGAAGTTTTATTATGCCATAAGTCTTGAACTAACGGTGAGCATGCAATGGAGATACCCCGGCTAATATCTAATATGCACTTAGAACATACACTTTTACGATTCTGTCCCCTTTCGCGTGCATCATAATCTTTTGCTGTGTTTGGGGTTGCGTTTGGATCGCCACCCATCTCTCTTACACCCCGGTCTCACCGTCATTGCGGGTTTAGGAGTTGCCTCAATGTCCTCCGACTATTCTTTCAGTTTGTTGTTTCGACTGTCCTAGCGTTTATTTAACCCCATGTTTATTTATCTTCTTAAAGGGTTTAGGTTTCCTTGCCGCCAGATTTGCCAGAAAGGGAACAAAAAAAAGGAAATTTGATGACGGGAAATGTCTGTGTCTTGGTCTGAAATAACCACAAGATCAGGATTTCCACAATTTCATATTTTACTGGCGAAAAAGTCTTCAGCAAAATACTGCAAAGTAATTACGACGTACCTACTGCTTCTTCGTAATCATTTTATCACACCGTAATTTATCTGGCCGTCTTCTGCAATATGCTATACTGAGTACGACCTTACACAGACTGCATCCAGAGGAACGCTGCTGACATCAATGCAACCAAACAGACCCTTTCTCTCCTCAAGGCCCGTGTCCAGAACCAGGCTTGGGGATAGAGAGGCTCGAGAGGGACGTGAGGGGCATAGCAATATGTTGACTGCCGATGATCATCTCCCCTGCCGTCCCATTGACTTCCAGGGGTTATCGTTTAGAATGCGGAGGCTCAAGAGACAACCTTTTTGTGCGTATGGCGCCAGCTCCATGACCCTTGCCATGATCACCAGATGGACTCTTTGTTGTGAAAGCAGGATCTACATACAGTAATGATGCGAATGTGAATCCAATCACTCTTTCTTGTACCGTCACCTCCAAAGCAGGTACTTAGCAGAGCTTTACAGCCGCACAGAGAGTTTTATATATCACTTGCTCTGTTCTGTCCCGGCCTTATGCTCTACATTTACCTGTCGGCATTCTCTCTAATAAGGACGAGCCTGCAGGCAGAAAAGCGTATTAAAACGACGAACTTGGTGAAGTCAGACAACAACGCCCTGAGCGGTGTCGAGTACTTGTCCACCCACCCCCGCCACGCCTTGACAAGCGTTCGGACCATGTACCGATGCGCGATGCAACCTGACGCAAGGTACCACACTGACCTTTTTGACGTTGAACGACGCTTGGGTGAGAAGAAACCGGACGTGTGAAGGGGTAGAGTAGTATCAGTGTCAGAATTCGGAAACGATTTACACGGAGGAACGTCGTATGATAGGACAAAGGCCGTCTTGTGAAGGCATATCGTGCCAGAACGGAAAGAGGCCCTGGCGTATGCAGTTTACGCTAATAGACAGGTTTGTTCAGCTGCAGAGTAAAATGCGGATCACCATACTGTTGACGGCTGAGGATCCGAAGGCTGATGTGCGATGCTGAATCTGTTTGTTTCGTCCGAGGGCGATGCGAGCGGAGACGCCACGACACAGCGTAAGACGAAACATTCAAATCAATCAGACACACTGGACGTACTGGACGAAACAGGAAAGGCCTGGCTATTCCCAGCTAGTGCCTCTGTTCTCGGACGCGAAACAGTCAGTAGTCAAAGACCGAATGCAGTGCTGCGTCGATGCAGTGTTGATGAATGGCCTCCTACAGGGCGCTGCCTGCACAAAAGAGGGCAAGCTTGATGCGACTACCTGCACGACAGAGATCCAAGCACCGCTCCTGCACTACCACATATCAAGTTCATGGAGTGCGGATGGTAGACCACAGACGGCATGAACAGTCTCACGAGAAGATGGAGGAGTGGAGGCTGTGAGGAGGCAAGTGCGTTGAGACGAAGCCATATGGTTCGGCGGGATGCGGATCGTCAAAGAAGAGATTGCCCCTTTCAGCCGTCTGCCCGTCGCTCTCATGGGGTCTCTACTTGTCTAGTCATATTTTGTATATATAACTCGGTCGTCTCGCCGCTTCCGTGTCAAGGCCATCGTCTCCTTCTTGCCCAAGACGCTCCTGCCCTCGCATCTCCAACACAACAGCTCTTCTTTCCCTTCAGTCAACATCAATCTAGTATTTTCATTCACCCACACCTTGTCATCCTCACAATGTGGTCCCGCGCACTCCTCTATGCTGAGCCGGCCGTTGACGCCGCGCCGCCCATGTGGCACCGCCCTTCTCAACCCGGCGGCCAGCTCATGTCCCTCAACCCTGTCGTCACGTCGACGCCCATGTGGCACCGTCCCCTGGCGCATGCCACCGATGCCGTGCCCATCTTTGAGGAGGCCGTCATCAGCCCCTCGCACATGTGGCACCGCCCGCCGACGGCCACGCCCATGTGCCCCTGCTGCACGAGCCCGACGCCCGCCGGACTGGCCAAGGCGGAGCGTGCCGAGGCGGCACTGGCGACGCCGCCACGCAGTCCCGTGTCCATGGCGTCGTTCCGGCCCTCGACGACGGCGACATCCGCCACGCGCCGCAGCTCAGAGAGTGCGTTTAGTGTGAGCACCGCCGGTTCCGGCTCAGGCTCTCGGGCGGGTCGCCGCCTGCAGCACCAAGCATCGTCGTTTAGCCTCCGGATCAGGCGCAGCTTTGCGCGTCTCCGTGGCCGGTCAAGTGGCGAGTCTCTGTAAGGGACAATACAAAAGTGTACACAAAAAACACCCCATGCATGCAACAAGAACAACTGCAGGTTACCAAACAAGGCCTGCCGAGTTGATACCATCACTTATATTTATTTTTTCTCTTTTCTTTTGTCTTTCCTCTTCTCCTGTTAACTTTTTATATACCACTTTATTGTCTTTCTTGGACACTTTCTTTATGTCTTTCACTTTTTCTCATTCCGTTTTATGGATATGCAACAGCATTCCCTACACGACATTCGCTCAAGATACCAACCACTATGGCCTGGAGGATGGCCTTTTCTCTCTCTTTTGTTTTATTGTTTTTGTACTGTGTATGATTTTCGGGATATTCCCGCATGGCTCGATCAGCCTTTTCCTTACCTATTTCTTTGTTTTATTCCGTTTACGTTTTTCTGATGTTATTATATTCGGAGCGGCGATGTGTAGTTTTCTGTCCAGAGTAGGGACATAATAAAAACAGAACTTCCAAATGGAACGCCATTGGCTGACATGTGCAAACGAAAACATTATCAACATCCCATTGCGATCTGCCAAGCCAATCCACTCAGGCACCAACCGAAGCCGAAACGCGGATGGCACCGAGTCTCTCTTGCCCAATTGGCCTTTCGGGACCCGCCTTCTCTGTACTTACTGTGTCTCTTCCGGCAGCGCTTTCCTTGTGTCAACCTAAATTATTTCGTCAGCTGTTTTTGTGGTCTTCCTCCTTCTGTTTCCAATTGCCACACCGTAGTTTCCAAATCTGTCGTCATGCACGTCGTAATGCTTTTTGTAAACAACCAGTCAACAATCACTTGAGCCACATGTGTATGGTACGCCACTAGTCGCGGCCATGCATCGCTCCTTCCACGGCCAAAACTAGAACCTGCCGCGCCCGGAATCCTCGGTGTTGCGCCTTCCTGCCAATGCGCGACTCATCGCGAAGGATTGCGATGGAAAACTCCCAGTAAACGGCAACTGCAGCTGCTAGACCCACAAGACCACTAGGCTTCGGTTCGTGTTAGCGGATCGGCAGTGAAATTATTCAGCCCACCACATGCCTGCCGCTTCCAGCTCATATTAGGGGTCCCCCCCCTTGGCCTAGTTATTTTCTTTCCGAACGTCGTTGCATCCAATTTTCAAAAACCGCGTTGTTTAGTTTTGCAAGGCTACCTCTCCTTGCGCTCTGTTTTGCATCTTCTACGGCTGATACAATGGCATCTTGACCTCGACCGACAATCACGAACAACCGACAGGCTGCATATTTGACCAAAAATTGGAGGGTGCGCAAGAATCAACACAGCAAAACCACGCGATTGCCCACCATGAAGTGGCATCGGAACCCCTTCTTCCACACGGCTGTCATGCCGCCGTCCGTGGCCCCGTCTGCCTTGGCGTCGGCACGGCCGTCTGCGGACCTGGACACTGCAACAGCTGCTGCTTTTCGCGCCTCCCTTATTGCGCGCAACGCAACATCTGCCCGGCCATCGACTGACCTGCTGCACCCGCCAGCCGGCCAAGCCAGCGGCCAAGCCAGCGGCCGCCCGTCCATTACCATTGCGCCGGCCCCAGCCGGCCATCCCGACCATGCAGACCACCCTGACAACCCGGTCGACCCCAGCCAGCACCTCGCGCCACACGGCATCCTCGCCGAGGCGGCCAACCGCGTCGCGCATGGCCGTCGGCATATTGGCCGTCGCAAGACGCGCAAGGTCCCCAAGCTCACGATTTGCGAGCCCAGTGACCACTTGACGCCTTACCAGGCCTTTTACATTTTCGGCATCGATGGCCTCGGTGCGTTTGTGCTCTCGGGTGGCATCAACTTTGCCATTGGCTACGGTACGTTTTGTTTTGTGTTCCTTTGCTTCTCACACGCCGCTCCTGCTGACAACCGCCAGCCATGTACAAAACCATCAACGTCGAAAAGCACCCCATTCGCCTCTTCCAGTTCCCCAATACCCTCGCTGGCGACGCCACCGTCACCATCTTTATCCAGTGCGTCCTGACTTGGTTCATTGAGCTCGTCCTCGTCAACCGCGACCTACGCTCCGGCCACATCCAGCCCATTGGCTTTTTGCACGAGCCCTCCAATGCCCTTGTGCGGTGGTTCCTGCTGCTCGACCGCCGACCGCCGGCAAACGATGCCGAGGCCAACAAAAACAACGGCGACGACGGGCTCCGCCGGCCCCTGTCGGCACCGCACGACGAAAACTGCCGCTGCGAGCAGCACAGCGAGCAGTACGAGATTGGCTCGTGGAAGCACTGGGCTGTGTTTTTGGTGTCCCAGCTCATCCGCGCCCTGCTGGCGGGCGTGCTCATGTGGATGGTGCTGTGGCCTGTATCCATTGGCATCCTGACGGCCGTGGGCGACAAGGGTGCCGACGGCGACTGGTGGTTTGGTCCGTCGTCGTGGGCGCCGCCCGTCTTCAAGCTGATTCTCGGCGGCGTCCTGGCGCTGCTGACGACGCCACCCTTTGCGGCCTTTTGGCTGGTGCGCTGTGGCTGGGCTGTGCAGGCCAACGAGCGGCACCTGAATGCGCTGGCGGATGCAGCGGCTGTGGAGGCGGCGGCGGCGGCGGCGTCCGCGAGTGTGAGCGGTGGCGTGGTCGGCAGCATGACTGGCGGTGCTACTGTCCCCACGGTGGACGTGCAGGCACCTGCAGGCACTACTGCGGAGTCCTCCGAAGAGAGAGAAGGAACTGGCCAGGAGTAATGTGGAGGAGAGGGGAGCAGGAGGAAAGGTTGTGCAACGGCTTTTTGCTATTTACGATGATACCCACGACATCTTTGGATTATTTTGCATCGTCTTCATTTGTACTGCGATCCTTTACAACAGCAGGTTTACAAGAGCAGGTTGAGGCATAGACTCCCTCGCGAGGACGGGAGCATAATTGCATATATACACGTCATTATGACAGGCGTCTAGGAAGTTGGCATTTCCGGCGCTGTTTCTGGTTGTACTAGAACGAAAAAGGCAGAATGGAATAGACTAATATATATCTAAGGACTGAAAAAACAGGGGATCAAATCAAAGTGCACAAGAAGTATCTCTCCATCCGCCTCATATCCACATATGCCCAATAAAATTGGTAACAGCACTACCTTCATCCTATCCAAAGTGTCATCGACCTTCTTGCAAGGACACCCAATCCCCGAGTTCATATGCTGTTATCCAGACGATTGTTTTACTGTCGTTTGGGGAGTGGCAAGCATACAAGTGCATATCGTAAGTTCCCCCTGGTTTCGTTGAGATGTCTAGCCGCGGATAAATTGATGCCTCTCGCCAGGCACCGTCGAGACCTCAAGTGGCAGCCCGCACCGGGGACCATGGACTGGACCTCGGTCACAGCCCTTTCCCCGCGTCACCATGACCGAGGAGAGGAATGACCTGGCTGGCTCAACAGATTTCTTATCCCACGTGATGGAGACGCTTGTTTAATGCGGGATACGAGCCCACGAGGAGGTAGTTCCACGTCTAGAGTCAGTTTCCCAACAGAGGCACCAGATCCAAGCGGATACGCGAATCCAGAGTCGGTGAGAGAAGGGGCTGGGCAGTTGGCTGGAGCCACGGGGGCAGCGGCAGTGGTTGTTGAATTTGCCCGCCACCGCACCGGAAATACAGTGGCTGCGCTGCTTCTGCCCCCGGACCATCCCCGGAACCGCCTGACCCTTTCCCCCTTACGCTCGATGCAGAAGCTGTCAAGGCTTCCGGAAACCATGTCAAGTCGGTAACGGTTCATAGCGGTGTGGATATAAAATGTATCTGTCGGGCATTACAGGTAGTGATTAGCCGGGCTGTTCTGGACTTTTGTACTTTGTTGTATATGAGAAAACGCTCTAGCTCATCCTTCGTGATACTCACACAATAAATGCCTGCGGGACAAGGCAACCCACCGGGTTCGATGGAACCCGGTCGGGTGACACACCACACAAGGGTGTCGACTTATCTCAAGAAGGGATACTGCGAGGCGCCGGCACGTCCACCGACGCCTCGTTTTTGGGTTCCACGTTGGCCTTGGGTCCTCAGACAACCTTTGGTGATTCTCGAAGATGAAAGTGACCTTGGTCTGTTCCTTGTTAGATCATCGGCGCTGTGGTATTTGGTCGTTCAACTCAACCTTTCAACCGCTCCTCATAGACAAAAGAGGTCAACCCACCGCTAAGAAAGGTCCCAAAGGAAAGCAGCACAGAACGCCGCACAGCTGGAAACATCCTCTGCTATTCCTTACCGTAGAGAAACGGAATGACTAGACCCGACAAGCAACATGTTGTCAAAATTATAGCTCATGCGACCCAGCCCTGCTCTGGGAGCTTTGCACATCACCAGAACTCGACTGTCCAGGATCTTAGCACAGCGCCAAAACGAGCAACGTCCCGACGAGTTGACTGACATCGAAAATCATCATAGTTCATAATAGGTGATGAAACTAGTGTAAAAAGAAGGAAGCAAAAGAGATGAGGGGGCGGGGGCTCTGTGGAGGGAATCCGATATGGTGTAATGGCCCCGAAGATGGTCTGGAGAAGGAGAGAGAAAGAAGAGGAAGAGAGAGAGGAAGGGGAAGAAAGACAGACAAAAGAGAAGGGGGAGAGAGGCTTTTAATATAAAAGGACACGTCGCCCGTTAGTCCAGGCCTGGGACAAGCAGCTTTTTTTTCTTAAAATGGAAGGGGGAGAGGAAGACGTCTTGTTGCATGGTCGTGCTTTCCTTTCTGGGCAATCGACACGGCTGCATCCAAGACAACAATAACAGCGAATGCACTCCTGCCAAGGGCAGCGGCCACGTCGTGCCCCACTCTGTACTTGCGTTTGGCGAGTTTGCTCGTTGCGTAGAGTGCAATCTGGAGTCCAAACTCGAGTAGAGTCTGAGGGGAACTGTAGGAGAAGCTGAGACCAAGGTCAAACAAGCACATTCGGCTCCTTGACGCAACGACGGTGACCAGTATCATTTCGTTATTCTGCAGTATGTTTCTACTGTCTATATATTGTACAGTTGTCGGCCAAACGTCTCTTTTGCGTCGATTTTATTCCATCCATGTTTCTTTCGCTATACTGACAGACAGTACTTGTGTCCGCTGCCTCTATGCTGGCGGCAGGAACGACGCGAACAACATGCCTTGTATCGATGCATACATGACGATGAAGACGACAAGTCCGCCGGCTAAATTGGACCGCGGACCGCCACTGAGGCCCTGCGCCAGCCACCAGTACCACACCGGGTACGCCGTCGACAGCCGCGACACGATCTGGACGTGGTAGCTGGTAAACGCCATGAAAGCGAGCAGCAGCTGGGATGCGGCCATGGACTGCAGGAGCGGGGCAAGACGAGGGGCAAGTGTGCCTTCGTTCTCTTGCTTCTTGTTGGCGTCGTTCTTCGTTTTGCTCGCGGCCTGCCACAGATCAAGACCCGAGCGTGTCATGATCAATAGCATCGGCGTTGCGAGCAAGAACAGCGGCAGGTTTGACAGGGTCCAGTAATTGAACAGCCGACCAGAGCCCCTGACGGTGGTGGGAGTCAGTAGAAGCTTCAAGACACGAAAAATGGAAACACACATGGAGGGCTTATTACCAGTAGTGGTCCTGGACAAAGTTGTAGATGCTGGGCGGACGCTGTGCACACCATGGCCGGCGGACTTCGCTCGGCACGCCCGACGGCTCGATGCAGAACTCGAAGTAGGCCACGACCTGCGGCACAACCGATCCTGCCGCGACGGCCAGGCCGCCCAGACCAATGCTCACGAGCCGGCGGAGAAGCCGTGGGCTGGGCTGCTGCAGGAACGTGACAGCGCCGTGCACGGCCTCGTAGGCAAACACGACTCCGTTGAGCAGGCCGTTGCTGCGGAACAGCGTGGCCACGCCAAAGGCCGCGCCGGCCAGCAGGCGCAGGGCATCGCCCTTTACGGACAGGCCCTGCGTGCGGCCTGCAGCAAGGGCCGCATACCCGACAAACGAGAACAGGGCACAGCTGCTCTCGGCATAGGGCGCCGACAGAAACAGGCCCGCCGGCGACAGCACGTGCAGACATGCGGCGACAAAGGCCGTGGTGCGGCCAGCGGCGCCCTCCCAGAGCTGGCAGCCGAGACGGTACAGGGCGAACACGGCGAGCAGGTGGGCAATGTGCACATACGCGACGGCGACGACGGCCACGGGTGCATCCACGCCGAGACCAGCCAGGGCACGCCGGGCCAAGGACACGACCAGGGGCAGGCCGGCGCCAAACGCCCACTCCTGCTCGTACACGTGCCCGCGACGCGCCGCCTCGACGTAGTAGATGGCGTCCCAGCTGGTCAGCCGGGACACGATGCCGCCGGACGGGATGGCATGCCCGCCTGTTGCAGAGGCGTACGGCGTCGTGCCGTTGCTGCTGGCGATGACTTGGAGCAGGTCGCCCGAGGTGTCGTAGGCCGGCCCAGCCCACGCGGCAAGAACAGCAATGGCCAGCAGACACGACTTCCAGGCGCCAAACACCACGGCCAGCGACCAGTAGGGGTGCTGCGTGTGGTTGAGCAGGGTGGCCGCTTTGGGCGCCGTGCCAGCGGCACCACTCTGTGTGGTCATCTGGTCCTGTCTGTCCTGGAATGTCGATGGGGATCACCACGTACTTGGACAATTCTGCAGTATCTCAGCACGGCTTTGTCAAGCTTGTGCGTCGAGCTGGGTTTTCCGTGGGTCGGCCGAGGAGGCGGAACTCTCCGCGTCGAGCTTAGCTTCGCGTGGAAGACAAAGAGCGGTTTGAAGTGTGAACGCGCGAGTGGCGCGCCTCGGCAACGATGGTGGCGGCCCCGTAGTTTGTCGTGTGGTTTGTCGTAATTCGTACTCTATTGTTTTGCCTGCCCTGTCTTAGTCCCACAAAGCAATGGCAGACGGTGAGTCTGGCTCAGTTCTGGAACGTGGAACGTCAGTCGTTGTTTTGTCGCTTTCTGCACGACTAATCAGCATGGGACAGGACCTACTGAGACCGCACAGGGGAGACCCACCTGCTATTAGGCTCCATAAGGTGCATTTTTACCGCCTAACGCTTGGATGTGCACAGTAATCGACCGCCGCCGTCGGGCTTCGGGGACTAGCGGGCACCGAGGCATGTGACCCCCCCTGTGGGCGCCCCTGCGGATCCCACTGTTGAAAAATGTACGAAACGCCCGAACGGCCGGCGAACGGGACTGACGTTTGAGCGCGAGGGTTGTTGGAGGAGGCATATGTCTCGCTTTGTTATTGGGGACTACGTATGTCTCGTGGGGGTGGTCCACGGGATACAATTTCACTTTTTTATTTTATTTTTTTATTGTTCCAGCTATGGCCAGAGCAGTGATTTCTGTCGCGACTGCCTACTTTGCTGTTTGTTAGACTACGTCCTTCCTCCGGCTCGCTCGCAATATATCCTCCGCGCCTTCCCTGTGATTATCAACGAAAGAGAAACGGAAGGCGCGGCCGGGTTGCGATTTCCAAGCCATTGCATGGGACGATCACGAGACCCATTACGGTGTTTCTGTTGCTTTGGATCTGCCCAGGCGAGAAATCCACTCGCAGGCTCTTATCTGCTCCCTGTCCGAAGTCTCAGAGCGTCGTCTTCAATGTGCCTCTTCAGCAAATGTAAAGTGCCACACCGAAGCGCCAGATGGGTGCCGGATGCACGCGCTAACCCAAGCATCATGCACATGCACACTTCAAAGTACGACCGGTGCGAAGCGTGTGGCGAGGTCGTTCGCCGTATATCGTATTGTGTTGCCGGTGATTCGATCGTTTGTGCAACCGTCATTGGGACCATGTGGGGATCCAGGCCCATTATTTTTTTTGCAAGAAAAAGTTAATTTTGCTATCCGTTCATCTTAGCGGCAGGCGGATGACAAAAATGGTTTCACGATTCGCCAATGCGGGAAAGAGAAGCCAAGAAATCGCACCGCTGAGACGAAGAACAAGGTCAAAGGAATAGAAGGGGAAAAATATCGCTAGAAAAACTAGATGGGACAACAGCAGCAAAACCAAATCGAGTCTACCGCCTGTCATTTGGTCACTCCGCGGGTTCCGGTGCGTGGGTTGGGACAGTTTTGGGACGGGGCGCGTGGAACATTGCTAATTCAACAGACTTTCCGTTTTGCGTTTACTTGGAGACAGCGAACCATTGAATGCCTGGGCAAGCTTTCCTGGCCCAGATGTGGCTGCACCGGCCTATGTGGCCGGTGTGGCCAATGTGGCCAGTGCTCTGGGCCTCCTGATCGCCTCAATTCTCTTTGCCATTGTCGAATCCAAAACGATACGTCGACATGTTTGACCACTGTATTGCGAGCCTGGCTGTTGGTTAGACTTTGCCTGGTAGCTGCAACCTACAAGCCCGCAGGCAAGTCTCGTTGGCCGAGTCTCACCTCACGTCGAGCAAGCTTGAACGGATATACGGAGTATTCATCTGACCTGACATCTGCCAGAGCAAATGTAATTCAATATCGATGTCCTACACCTTGCTGCGGCCTGCTGTGACCTGCCGAAACTAAACTCCACTGTACCGTCTTTTCGGCACTGTCTATATCCGTTGTACATGATGCATAACTTGTTCCCTTCTGCAGCTCATGCTCTCCAATGAAAAGCTGGAGGTCTTGCAAGTCCCATCATGTGACCTCTCCCGTCCTATTCTTGAAAAGTTGGACGTAAAAATATGGTCGACTTTGTGGACTGCGTAGACAACTCCGATGGGTTGGAGGCGTGGGGCGACGAACACCTGCAACTGGACGGTACGATCGACCTGGACTGGTCTGCGTGGAAGTAAGTACCAGTAGAGTCGGGCCGCAAAAGCCCGCCAGACCCCAACCTTACGGCACCGCTTCCGGGGCACCGCTTCCCCGGCGGCCGTTGTGGGAAACGACGGCACGCAACAAGTGATGCTCGCTGGGTTTGGAAGCGTTCGCCCGACCTTTCTCGACGCGGTTTCGGCTGCACAACACAACGGCCCCAGAAGAAGAAGACAGCGGTACTTGCTAAAGTTCTATACATGCATTTATTTCATTGGCGGGACATGTTTCGAGTTATGTTCGACGGTCGAGATCGAAAAGTTACCTCACAAACCTGTTTTGTAGAGTGTTACATGGCACGATAACAATGGCCAAGACCAGCTTCGCCCAACATATGCACCAAGTGGAGAAACTGACAGGCGAACTGTCAATGTAAGAGAATCCTGACACCGTATTTCGTACAGAAATATTTGCACTATTTCCTCTCCGATATGTTACAAGGCAGGTGGCATGTTGTATGCACGGAAGGACATAGCTGTGGCTGAACAAAAAAATCAGACAGTCGCTGAAGGGGCCTGAGCAGCGAACGAAGCAGTAATTACATCACAGAGAAGTCTGACTAAACGCGTCCGATGTTTCGGCGGGACAAACAGAGTCAATCATGCCTTCAAAGAGCCGCACACCACTCCGTCGGCTCATATTATGTCAGATCGCTGGAAAGTTGCCCCGTTTTTGTGGCGTCCGGTCGTCCCAATCATTGGCCTCGTGTTGGCCGTTTTCTTTTCTCGCGGCATAGAGTAAAAGTCTCCACAATTAGCATAACGCTTTGAGAGCAAAGATACTTTGTTCACAGGCGGCATGTAGTTGGTGGCTGTATTGCATCTTACCTCACACTCGGGTCGCTCGCTGCCCAGGGCGTTCTCAGGGCGTTTTTGAGGGCGCTTTTAGGCTGTCAGGCGACGCTCGACAAAGAGGGCCTGGCAATCTGACTCGGTCCCTGTTTCGTTTGTCTCCCTCGACCTAGCCTCTCGCCGTGACGGCGGAACTCGAAGGACAAAGGAAGCTCTCGCGTATAAGTGGCTCGGCAGGCGAGTATGATGAAAACACGAAAAGGGCCGGGGTCGAGACTTCTTGGTGGCACTGTGTCCTTGTGTCGTGCAGTTGACGTTTTGTGAACTGTTCTTTTCTTGAAGTCAGATGCTCATCCCCAGTGAGTATCTTCGCCGTCCTTACGTCGTTCCACCACTTGCCAGGTTCCAAATAAGCCACCTTCTTCAGACCCTCCATGTTGGGCGACCTTTCCTTACATGGTAATCTAAATTGCCCAAACCAGTCATCAAGCTGAATTGCACCACCCTCAGCAACGCCGCTCATACGAAGCATTGCTCAGCTCACTATCGAGTACTAAACGGGCGGGTCACTAACGCGCGGACCCCGTCCTCCGCATACTTGCAGGACAGTTATGTATTTTGTGTAATTTATTTCTTTTTAACATCTTGACATGTTGCCTGCGGATGTATTGCAAAAAAGAGGCGGCGAGCAGACGCACGAAGAGAGGAAACAGGAATAGAGCGCGGAAAATGTTCCCACATTCGTGTGTGCCCGTCAACCCCATGATGCAAAGTGTCAGCGTACATGTTTTACTCTGATCTCTGCCTGTCTTATGGAGCCAATTTTCGTGAAATGCTGCCGTGAGATCTAATCTGCGCATTGGCAAATGGCCTCGCCTGGCGGAGCGTAAAACTTCCGAGTATCCCGCTCACCGTTCCTTCCCAGTACGACACTCGCCTCTCACTCCACCTCTTGCCTTTAACAGCGTCTGTCCCGCCTTTTGGCTGTGGGCTTCGGGTCTTGGCAGTCGCCTACTGGCCTGGCGCCTTGGGTCACTCTTGCTCTTTTTAGCTCGTCTTGGGTCACTCTTTCCCGTCTTTCTTCACACCCAACCCCTTTGCACCCCTGCTCCTGCCTTGCCGGCATCGACCTTATGAGAGCCGCCTTCCAAAGAAGTACATTCGTACGTGTGCTTACCTTTACATTTCTCCTGGCTTGCCGCCTCACCTCTCTTCTCCCCCTTACCCTATTCTCCCACGCTGCTGACTTCTGACAACGGCTGTGGGCGATATTTCGATGCGCCCCTCGCTTTTATTCGTGTTCTTGTTTCCTCCGTTGTCTTTGTCGTCCTCGTTTCTCGTTTCTCGTTTCGCGGCACTTATTTGTTCGTTTTGCTGCTGCTGCCGCAAGATCGACAAGAAACACGTTCCATCTTTGCATTGTCTCTTGATATTCGCTTTTGATAGTCTTGAGTGGGAAGCCAAGCCGCCGCGACCCCTATTCTTTTATTTCGTGTTCTTATTTCGTGTTCTCACTGGTACTCAAAGGCCCCCTTGCTCCACACCATCACAACGCCAGCCCAGGCGTCATTCCAGCCCACAAGCCGCCAGCAGTTACCAGTGAGAAAACAGCGGGTTTGAGCCAGTCTTAATTTCTCTCTACGCGTCTGATCAGAGACATACATTGACGCTTGTCGATGCTGGTCAGCTCTCGTCTGACAGAGTTGTTGCCCGCTTTGTCTGCACACTTTCTCGTCGTTTGTGCGAATCCTTTATCGTCGTGTTCTGTATTCATTCCGTTCTCTGTTCGCTACTTTCTGTTTCCTTTCTGCTTGCTGCGTTTTCGAGTTTAGGATCCCGGCTCTGCTCCCTTCAGTTTCTCGTTCCCTGCTCAAGCATCTCATTCTCCTTCTCACGTACGTCGTACGTCTATCTCACGCTCTGTGCTCCCCGTTTCCTCTTTCCACCGCCAACCTCCTGGACCCTCGTCCACAGACGCACCACACGGAGCCTCTGTCACCCCGGCGCGTATCCGACAAGCTCCGTCGGCGAACTGAATCTGTGCCTGGGCTCTAGGGTCTCTACCGCAGAGCTTTTCAGCCCTTTCTTCGAACCTGGCCTTCTGGGGTGGGTTCTTCTTGTGCACTCCACTTGCCTCGTCATATGGCACCCTAGCCCCGTCCCACCTCGTTACTACAACCACCGCCAACCTAAACCGATCGTTTTCTCGACACACCTCCGTTCCGTTTCTTTCCATCATTCTGGTTTATTCCCACTTGTTCTTTTATATTTTATTTTTATTTTTATTTTATTTTGTTTCCCCAACCACCAGGGCCGGTCGGTCTTTCCGGTCGCCTTGCATGTCTCTCATTATAAGTCGTCATGTTCCTCCATTCGGGCGCCAGCCTTCATGGCCATGAGTACTCGAATAGACCAAACCGGCCATCAAATCAACAACTCTTGCCGGACCCGAGACGGAATCGTCTGCTACGGTCTGCCTTTACCTCGCCCAACTCCGCATCCTCGTCTGCATCCACATCGTCTGCACTTTCTTCCTCTGCCTCTGCCGTCTCCCACCCTTCCGTCACTTCGTCTTCGGCAACGGCCATTCCCAGTCTCAACGCGTCCGCCACCTCATCGCCGCCATCCATTGTCCGCTCCAGCACCTACTCGGATGGCATTCGCCCGGCTCGACCGCTCCGTCCCAAGCCGCACCTACGGCACGTCTCTGAAGGCCTTCTCACGAGTGACCGGTCGCTCCCACCCGAGCCCGTTGTCCGGTTCCACGACCCTCCAGTCGTAGAAACCGGGCCCATCACCCGCTCGCTTCTTTCCACAAACACTCCGAGATTATCAACACCATCCCGGCCCCGGGCTCGCCTGCCCAAGGCGCCGGAACCTATGAGCGAAGATGAGGCCTCGTTCTCGGCCTCGGAGGCAAGCTATGCCAGCGACCCGGCGCCCAGCTCCGCCGCGTCCTCCAAGCCCAGCCGCCGCCGACGAACGCCCCGCAAGAGTACAACGTTCCTGCTCGCCCATCCAGCACCAAAACTGAGCACGAAGAAGCACCTTCTCAAGCGGCTCCGCCCGACGCTGCTCATGCAAATGCAACAGCTCTCGGCCGACCGCCGGCCACGGCCCGTGATCGACGTCTACCCGTCTTCGCTACTTGCTGGCAACGTTGCCGCACCCCGGTTCTCGAAACGGTTCCCACGCCTTTTTGGTATCAACGGCGAGCTGGGCCTGCACGACACCATCCTTGTCCAGAGCGAAGACTACGACTCCCGTTTGCTCGGTTCTGAGAGCGACGACGAGAACGACAGCTTCGAGCACAGAGCTTTACTTGCTGTGCTGAGTCCCTTGCGCCGCGGCGATCAGTCCGAGATTGCACTCGAAGACGGCTCTGTCTGGACGACAAAGGCGCTACCTACCGGCTCTTTTGACTTTGTCCGCGTAGATGAACACGGCAACACAACCACCGCCCGCTGGGTGAGCCGTAACATGTCCAAACCACCACCAGCTGTTGATGCAAAATGCACCACAACCGGGGCCGACGACCATGCAGCTACTGCCGAACATGACTGCAAGTTCACGTTCAGTATTATTGACCCGCAATCAAGACGGCACCCCATCCTAGGCACCCTGACGCGGACGACCCTTGAGATTCTCGATACCTACACCACGGTCTCGCCATCGGCCAGCAGATACCCGCCCTCGCGTGCCTGGACGCCGTCTCCGGCCTCCCACGACGCTGACAACAGCAACGACGAAGAGCTCTCGCACGACGATGATGCCGGCCAGCCATCTATTGCTCCATCCATGCTCTCCAATGCCAAAGCACGGACCACGCTTCCCGTCGATGCCGCCCTGAAGAACTTCATTTCGATCAGCGCAGTCTGGGTGGCCCTCCAGTGCGGTTGGGGCCAGACCGTAGGGGGACACTGCCCCTTCCCCGGAACTAGCAATGCCTCGGGCATCAAGAGCGCTACTGGCAGTGTCCGTTTTGTGCCTGACTCATCGGCCGGCGATGCTACCAACGCTGGCGATGACACCTTCAAGCGCGGGCGCCGCTTGTCTGCACGCTACAAGACACGATCGGCTACACTTCCCTCCATCGATATCCCCGACCGCGATGTATCACCGTCCGTATCGCCCAAGGCACCTGGGCGCACGCCCATCTTTCCACGGAAGGCATCCAGCACGGGCGCTGCCTACATCCAACGCCGAAAACAGATGCAACTGTCCGACACAAGCGACTCGGAACGGCCGCCGGCTGCTCTTATTGCCCCGCGCCGTCGGAGCCGCGCATTCTCGCGACTGAGCGGCGAGTTTTCGTCCAAGGTGTCTTCCAAGGTCCAGTCGTCCCCCTCGCCGTCCGAAGCACCTGCTACACCCGAGGTCATGCTCGAGGAAATCTCCCCCGTGCCATCATCTCTGTACCACCACCAGCAGAACTCACAGCAGCCTAACACGTCGTCGAGGACGACCACGGCAGCATCGTCCATAGCTGCTGCGCCAGTCTCGTCGTTCACATCGCCCGATCTGCAGCAGACCCAGGCCTTGTTGGCAACACAGTCCTTGCCTCGCGGCGGCCGGTCTGTCTCTGCCTACTATGCCACGAATCCTTTGGCCCATGCTATGCCGGACGATTTTACCGATGCGGCCCACCCTGACCACCTGGCGATGATGCAGCACCACGGCCCTGTTGACCTGAGCGCAGCACCGATTGACATCCATCGCCACAACCCCAACGGCATGGCCTGGCATCATCGACCCGACTCTGTCATGGAAAAGAGCAGCAATAACGGCGGTGCGCGCTGGAAGCGCCTGGGCAATTGGTTCAAACGCCTCGGAAATGGCGGTAGCGCGAACGGCGTCGCCCATTAACGTGTTTTCATGTCATGGTGGATTTCTGAGTGGAAACGATTTGCCTGCTGTCACTCCGAGCTTGGCGCCGTCGTTTACTAATAAAAACGAAAAATCGAGGCCAGCCGAGACCAGCGTTGCTTGGCAAATACGTTCCTTACATTCCCCAGCTCCACACACAAACCAACCATCGCCAAAGAAACCACCAAACTACCTTGTATCACCAACTCACCTCTTGTCGTGCAGGCTGCACTGTCCTAATTTCATTTGTCCGATTTTCTTTGTTCTTCTCGCGGCATTTTGCATCTTTTATATGTCATATAGTCAACTGTCACCATCTGTTTCTGATCTTTTAACATCATTCAGCATGGCGTTTTTATACTATATCGCTTTGATTACTTTGGTGAACAGGGTCATACTAAGTCTTTTTCTTCTGTTATTATTTCTTTTGTATTATTATGAAGCACACGTGGGATAGAGGAGCTACACGAAACGGAAAATACATTCTTACAGCATTGATTTCTACCTGAAAGAAAGTTGTTCATACAATATTATTACATGCAAACTAACCCTATGCTTTCCGTCAACTTACTACTCTTTCGCATATCTGGCGTCCTTCCGCTGCGTGCTCTACTCCGAGGACATCCAACACTTCTAGTTGTTAAGGTCGTGAGACATTTCAGACACGCTACACTTTGCAACTGACAATGCCGTGCCCTGTGTCAAGCGTCCAGTGCGATTCTGGGAAAATGAGAAGAAGGAAGCAAGGAACATACCTTTAAAAAGTCAAAAACACCATTCGTCCTATTTTCCTTACTTCCCCTTTCCCTATTCCCGAGAGTGTCTTGTTCGTTTGGGGCAGAGGACATCCTTTAATTTAAACTTTGGATGCGAGTGGCATCAAGACGTCAATATCGAGAGAGGAAAGCACTGGCGAGGCAGATCGTTCGGTTTCCATGTGGTTCTTTTCAATGTATATCAGGGTCGAGGGCCAAGTAGAGTATATCCTCTAGATTTGATTGAGTTCAACCGCAGCCGGGCACCAAAAATAGGCCCTCTATAACATGCATGTCTGGTTAACCGTATTAGTGCGGACATACATTTGGATATATGGGTGAATCTGTTTTTTTGCTTTGCTCATTATTAAATGTTAGTGGTTTGCGTGTCTACCTGCATCCATGCACCTCCCCCTGAACAAACCCACCAAAAAGTAAACAAGCAGCAGCAATGATGTGGGAACCCCTCAACTGCAAAAATGCGGCAACAATATATATACATATGATGACGGAAAGAAGTAGTATTCGAGAAATTGGATTAAATTCATGTCGTCGGTAAATTTCTCCACTCGTGTTCTCTTCGCGTACATGGGCAGTGGCAGTAAACCATTATTCACGGCAGACCATCGATAAGGTGTCCTTACAAGCTTCGCACTTCGCACACATCATATCTAAGGAATATGTGTGACCAGTGAACGAGATGTTTGCAGCACGGATAGAAGAGAATGGCCATTTTATAGCCCTCGCGAGCGGCTTGTTGCTGCTAAGAGAATTTAAAGGTCATGGTGCCAGTGGGACTTGGATGAGGTCGATAAATATTGCACGTAGCCAAACCCTGTACCTGAATTCCGGTCGGGGATTTCGCTCACAAAAAAGCTTGTTGTCGCCTTGCGTTCGTCCGGTTAAATGCAACAACAGTGCAATATATGTGCAAGGGGATCTGCATATCTGCTCAATGTTATGGCTCGAGAAAAGGAGGTCGAGATACCTCTGCTTTTTTCGTCTCTCAGGGCCCTGGTCGGTACGTTTTCAGAGGGAAGGCGCGATGCAAGCCGTTCCAAAACAAAACAAACGGCAGGAGCGACTCTCTTGTAGAATCCACATTGGGAAATCGCGAAGTAGCACGACAGTGTAAACAGCCCTTCGTGCTTTCCTGCTGTACCTTACCCATCGTCATATCTACCTCACGTCTTCATTCTTCTTTTTCTCGTCTCGGCCTTCTCTTTACAGCCGAACATGACAACACCTCCAATCATCAATTCGAACAACGTATCGTGACTGTGCAATACCTTCTCGCCATCTTTCGCCATTTCTCGCCTCTTTGCGCACACTCTACACCCATATGGCTATTTGGATCCGCCAAGACCCGGTAATGGTAGACACGTCGAGTGCCCATAGTACCCCTGGAATTGCCGCGTCAATATCCGATGATGTTGCGGGACGGGCGAACAGCTTGCTTTTATCCCCCGATCCCAGCTTCAGGTAAGCTTCTGCGTCTTTGCTTTTGCCCTTGCATGCCATTATCGCCTGATATTCTGCTACTCTGCCTTCGCAGACAATTTCCCTGGCGACCTCAACTCTTGCAGTTTCTAATCCTGTTCGTCTGCAGAAAAACACCTCTCGGCAGAATTGACCTTCCCGCTATATGAAAAAGAAGGTTTTCTCTCTCCACACTTATCCGGCGAGACCAAAATCCATGGAGGACGAGGATGCTTCGCATTTCACGTGGTTCATCGACTTCGACCCAACCAAGACGGAGTGTTGATAATGCCGGTACACCTCAGCCCCAATACACCTGATGCGGCGGTCTCGACCCCGGTTTCTATGAGAAACAATCGTCTCTCGACGCTGAGCCAAAGACAAGTCTGTCGTCCAGCGCTATACGTGTCGTCTGCTTTCATGCGGAGGTCTCAAGGGGAGGAAGTATATACTCAACGGCACAAGAAAATGAGTGGAACACGTCGCTTCTCTTCCGACTGCACACTACTTCTGATTGTTCAAAGGTGACGAGTTTGCCGTTGTGAATGTCACCTCTCGGTTCCGACAATGTCGACATTCATCATCCTGATCTTGCCAAGGCGGTGTAGATATGGAAGCACGGTCGGTCCTCATTGTTCAAGAACTGTGGCAATTTATCTCATATGTGTACACCAACGTTGTTTTGCAGTACGCTGGGCATCACCTTCTGGTATCACACTCCACTTTACTACTAAGTTCATCCTGACAGTATCACTGCATATCCTGATCGCAATATACCTCGCCATAACTTTCTACGCCTTGACCTTCCTATCCCACAATTTGCAAACAGCCAAACCTGAAGGCGTGATTGTCTTTCGACGACGTAAACTTCCAGTTTATCCATATTGTGCCGATTTAGACTTACGTTCGACTACATTGTCCTCTATGAAGAGATATTTGCCATGCCGAGCGACATAGAGTGAGAGCAGCCGGGGATACGGCGATATTCCACGTTTTTCCAGGTAGGTACCGAGATGAGTATTTACAACTTTCTATGAATTTCTAGAACGGCCCGTATATGGCGCATCACCCCTCCCTCTCCTCTCTCCTCCCCGGACCTGACCCAGGCGTGTTGTGACCGCGCTTTACGGGCTATAAAAAACAATCATCAGCCGCCTCCTTGTCATTACTTTATCTCTGACCTTTAGCTTTTCTCGAGCACGCGGCGTCTTAACGGCATCTACGTACGACCATCTTGCCAGAAGAATCGACATATAGCCAAAGTTTGCAAATATGCAGCTTCCTTCGTTCGCGCAGCTGGCCATCACTGGCTTGCTGGCCACCTCGACGGTGTCTGGTCTCCAGATGCCCGGTGAGGCTGCCAGACGCGCTGCTGTATGCATACCGTACCGTCGTCAACATATTGTTCGTTTCCAGACTGACCCGATTATGACAGGGTGCCATTGCCATTCTGGCCGTCCCCGTTGCTGGTACACCCGTTTCCCCTGTAAGTCAGAGAAGCCAAAAGTTTATAGTTTGCCCTGGAAGCTAGGACAGAAATCTAATGGTTGGTCTCTCATAGCTGGCGCTCCGCAACGACGACGAGATCGAGAAGCACCGCAAGAAGCACCACAAGAAGCACCATGAGCGCCCCCGCCGCCGCCAGTGGGGCTGGGGTGGAGGCTGGGGTGACGATGATGATGGCGACGACGATGGTGATGAGCCTGCGCCGGTCCCCACGCCTGGCAAGGGTAAGGGCTCGGGCAAGGGTAAGGGCGCGCCCACCGGTGCCGTCCCTCCCATCAAGACGACCACCGCTAAGCCGGTTGGCCACACTCCCACTCCCCTTCCTGCTCCTCGTAAGTTGCTTATCGGCGTACAAACGACTGCACGTTTTGTTCCATCTAATGCATTTTTATAGCCAAGTCTCAGCCTGCTCCCGCTCCGAGCAAGTCTGAGCCAGCCCCTGCTCCGAGCAAGTCTCAGCCTGCTCCCGCTCCGAGCAAGTCTCAGCCTGCTCCCGCTCCTAGCAAGTCTCAGCCTGCTCCCGCTCCGAGCAAGTCGGAGCCAGCCCCTGCTCCGAGCAAGTCTCAGCCTGCTCCCGCTCCGAGCAAGTCGGAGCCAGCCCCTGCTCCGAGCAAGTCTCAACCCGCTCCGGCTCCTAGCAAGTCCCAGCCTGCTCCGGCTCCTAGCAAGTCCCAGCCTGCTCCCGCTCCGAGCAAGTCTCAGCCTGCTCCCGCTCCTAGCAAGTCGGAGCCCGCTCCCGTGAAGCCGGAGCCTACCCCCACCGGAAAGGGCAAGGGCAAGCCTGCGCCCACTTGTAAGTTCTTGCGCCATATGATGTTGAACTGTGCAACGTACAAGACAAAATGGTAGCGGCAATGGGCTAACATAGCAGCCGCGAGCCCGCCCCACGAGACCGCCACGCACCCGATTCCCCCGGTCGTCACAGCTCCGCACAAGAAGCCAACCCACACTGTGACGGTGACGGTGAAGCCCACGACCACATCCAAGGCCGCGCCACCTCCTCCCGAGCCGACCGTGACTGTGACCGTCACTGAGGGCGAGGGGTATGTTGTTTTTGTTTAGTTTCCTTGACCATTTTGATGAGTTTCATGACCGAGAATATTTTCTAACATGCTATTTTCTCCATCAATAGCAAGGGCAAGGGTAAGGGCACGGTCACCCCGCACCCGTTCCCGACACCTGTCGGGCCTCCCATCTTCCCCGGTTTCGGCGACGACGACGACGACTGAACGGGATCACCGACGAGTACTTGACGGTACGCAAGCGGTGATCTTAACTGGTCTACCCTTGTCGTGAACCGATATCTTTAGCATGGCATCGCCTATGCTCCATTTCACATTCCTTTTCACATCTAGCGTCTCCCGTAGAGGACGCGACTTCGTTTCGGCCCCTGTAAAATAATAAACACATACGAGCGCTGCCAAGACGGGCGTTTGTGTGCTTACCAGAGTCTCGGGTCGACCCTGTTTTACTTTCTGCAGACAACCATGTATACTTTCTTTCCAAAATCAACATTATGACGCGCATAAATGTAGAACACAGGCCTCCCGACGTGACTAGTCGTGGCTATATTTGTGTGCCAGTAGTTGCTCATCCATATGCCATCAGATTTCTCGTTGCAGAGCTGGTGCTCGTCTTCGGTAAAAATCTATGATGGCCTCTATAGACCGACACAAAGAGAGCAATAGGCCGCAGGGTATGATGCACCAGCATTTCTATTGTTGTTCTGGTAGGTCTTTTTTCCTTACCCATCCTCCACCCCACCTTCCTTCACAGTGGCCCAGCAACAGCACCTCTTTCCCCCCCTCTAGGAGCCCTCCCTCGTCGTTGCCCTGTGTTTAGCCCGCTGTGGACTGCGACAGTAGCAAACTGACAGCGCTGGTAGACGCTACAAGCGGGCTGCCAGGTGGTGCAGCAGCTGTCCTCTGGCTGAAGGCATATATCTGACTCGGCCTTTGGCTTCCTCGCCGCCCATTGTAGTGAATAGGCGTAATGGGATCCAGTCCTCCGACCAAAATCTGAATGCTGCACTTTCTTCCCTTTACACGTAGTAGATGTATCATGGATGTCGCGAGACGTGGCAATAGTACGCAGTATGTACCGAGCAAGTACATGAGCAAGCACTTGTAACGGGTACCTGCATTGACGTGTCTCGCTACCAAGAAACCGAAGCAAAAGGCCGCAAACTCTCGATACCTTCATCTTGGCCTCGACATTGCTCTTTGAATGGGATCCCAGCTAGACATTACGAGTTGTGGACAAAAATAGGTAGAATGGAAAGCATAAGCCTTAGATTTGAAAGTTGCAACAAATATGTAAAAGACTCTCCTCGACCACTTCTTTGCCCATACTCCTGTCCCTTTTTACCTCTCCGTCTTCCTCGCCTCCGTTTCCCCCCGTCTTCTCCCTCTTCTCTCGGGTATCTTCCATGCGGCATGCGCGAAAATAAAATGCAAAAACACAACAGATAACAAATGATGCCTCGAGAAGAGTATGCAGAATGCAGCCGATACAACGCGGCAGCCAGCTATGCAGCACTATGCAACGGTGGAACTATGCAACAACTATGCGGCAAACGGAAAGAACAACTATAAATTAAATAGGAAAAGCCTTTCCCACCTCGGCAAAGACACTCATTGCTCTTCAGATGGCACCAGGTAAGTGCATCGGCTGTTGACGGAGTAAGAGGTAAGAGCGTCAAGACCGAAGCGAAGGCGAGTGTCGACAAGGGAGACAAAAGATAGGGGAAAAAAAAGAAGAAACGCGACACACGGTGGGGAGAAACACCATCCTCTTCCTCGTTCGCAGCGTTGGCTCAACAAAGATATCAAAAAGCATTTCAATGTCGGCCAACGAAGAAATGCAGGACAACGGGACAAAGCAACCAGGTCAACCAAGCAAGAGAAAATGGGATTCAAGGGGAAGAGAGGACAGAGGGCGGGTACGGCCAGCTCAGAGGTTGGCGGTAAATTTGCGGGCAGCACCATTGCGGTTGACGAAGCCAGTGCGGGCGCTGGTTCTGGTGTTGGTGCCGGTGCTGGTGCTGGTGCTGGCAGCAGTCGATGTTTCGACACCGGGCTCCGAGACCTCCTTGACCTGCTGCATCTCTTGCTGTTCCTGCGGCTGCGGCTGCGGCTGGTGATGGGCCTGGGTCTGGGTCTGGGTCTGGGCCGGAATGGCCCCTGTGGGCCGAGAACGTCCGCCAGTCCTCTCTTGGCTCACCACCATGGCCAAGTAGGCCTGGACCAAGGCATCAGTAATGGCCATGTGGCTGGCAGCCGAGGCAGCTGCGGCGGCAGTGGCGGTGAGAGTCGGCGAATGGGGCGAGTCAACCGATTCAGGCGTGTCCTGCGCGTCAGTCGCGCTGGAGAGTGGGAGACCAGTCTTGGGCGCGCGGGCCATCTAGGCCGTGGTGCCGTTGGTCGTCTCCGACTCCTGTGCCGCGGCGGCGGTGGTCGAGGTCGTGGTCGTGGGAGCCATCTCCGTGCGGACCGGCTGCTCGATGGGCTGGCCCGTGGCCTCGTCGACCAGATCGTCGCCCTGGACGGTGACCTCGCGCGTCTGAATCCGCTTCATGAGCCGCATAAAGGACGACTCTTGGAACTTGGTGCTGGGGTGAGCGTCCAGCGTGTGGACAATCTGGCCTGCCGTGCGGGCCAGGTCGTCTTGGTCACGCGCCAGGTCCTGCTCGGCCTGTTCCGCCGCAGCAGCCTCCGCTGATTCGGCCAGACGCTGGGCGTCGAGCTCATCCGCGAGGGATTCAAGAATGGCGTCGACGTCTTCCGTCTGGGCTGCCGACGTCTCGCCGCGCTCTTCCGCCGTGGGGCCATGCTGTTGCATCCACGCATCCATTTCGTTTTGGAAATCGAAGTTGGACTCTGCCTCTGCAAAACGGGCCTCAAGCTCGGCTTCGGTGAGGCCAGCGACGCCGCTGGGAGCGTTGCTATCAAGCAGCGAAGGAGGGGCAATGTGAGGCATGGTGGTGGTGGCGGTGGTGCTGGTGGTGAGAGCAGCAGGTTGAGGAGCGTACGAAGAAGAGGGTGAAGAATAATTGAATTGTGAGAATTGTTGGGTGCCTGCAAAAGAAGGTTGGTTCAAGGAAGAAAGAAACGCGGGGCTCTGGGCCATCATGCCCGAAGAAAAGTGCTGCAGACGGTTGACGGCCTGCAGCGGTTGCTGGGGAGCATAGGGCGCACGAGCAGCAGCAGCTGCCGCGGGTGAAGGACCAGCAGGAGCAGCAACGTGAGTTGCCGTGCCAGACAACGCAAACTCGGCGGCCCAGTTGTTAGAGTTGCTAGCGCCGTTGGCGTGCACGGGAGCCACGCCGCCTGGGCCAGCAAAACGTGCTTGTGGATGGTGCGCGTGCGGTCCCATTTGGCCCATCTGCTGAAGCGTTGCTGGGTGCACATGGCCGTTCATGTCAGGCCCCATCATCGGCTCGGCCTGGAAGGCAGCACCACCAGCGGCAAACGCCCGAGCCTCTGCCTCGTTGCTGTGCGTGCCATTTAGGGCGGAGCGGAAGTTCTGCTGCAGTGCGTTAGTTGTGTGGTCACGAGGGGGGCAGTGAGCAGACTGCCAAAATAGGCAAAGCAAACGCGGCAACACCACACGACGCAGACGGAAAACAGAAAACGAAAACGGAACACGAAAATGGAAAACAAAATCGGACAACATACCGAAGGTCCAGCACGGCCAGGCGCAGCGCGGTCTTGATGCACCGAGCGGTCGCGGTTGACATGCTCGCTGAAGCTCTTGAGAGCCGTCGACGGGCCGCAGAGATTGTCCGCCATTGTTGCCGGTATGAGATGGCGAAGCAAGCGTGTATTTGAATGACGAGGTAAATGAGTTGCCGTGAAAGTCGACGACACCCTATAAACAGCGCGTGGCCGTGAGTGAGTTGAGGCCGGTGACTTGTCTCGAGAACGCAGTCTCAACACACAAGAACGGTGCTGTACAGGTGGGGAAGACGAGGAGACAGCGGGGTAGCCAAACGACTGGAATTCCTTATGCTCGTATCGTTGGGAGTCTCGTGTCGAGGAATAATACGGCGATCGAGAAAGCAGTGCTCGACTATATAGGACGAGGGCCGCTTGCTATTGACGCTCGCAAATGCTGGCCAGCAATGGAATAGTGCGAGGGGTCCGGAATGCCACAATCTATAACAGGTTTGGCTCTCTACGCTGGAACACAAACGACGCAGCCAGGGCCATTCTCCGAGGGCAACGATGTCGTGGAGCGGAGGCACAGAGAGGACGCTGCCTCGTGCACGCCGTGGAAGGAGCACTCGCCGGGGGCGGGGCGCGGGCCGTTTGTCTCTTCTGAATAGGAAAGAGCGTCGTCAATATAAACAAGGGCGCGCTTTGTGTGCTTTCTGTGCCTTCTATCGGTCTTCGTCGTGCTGTTATCGTCTTTCTTTTCCACGCAAAACGTCGTTGAATGTTTGAGGTGTTGTTGGAAAGCGGCTCACCTCGGGAAAACACGAGGCAATGAATGGGCCGCCGGCAACGCCTGCAATACCGCCTCCATGGGGAACATTTGGCTTATAAAGCTGGGGCTGGCCTTTTCTATTGGTTCTTTGGCGCAACCTCGCACCTCAATAGCGCAATCCACTGCATTCGCAAGCTTGTGACAGCGAGGCCCGAGGACGCTATTCTCTCCGCCACCCAGTAATTACTACGAATAGTACGACAAGATACTTTGTCAACCATTGTCGAAAGAGTGGAGCCCTCTGTTCACCATTGTTACTTCCCATTTAGAGGTGGAAAAGTGGGGACCAAAGCTTGCCTTTTGGCGGGCCCGGAATTAGTATTTGTCCTGCCCCAGTGCCTGGACGCTCCTTCCAATAGGGGAGCTAGGCGGCCCATTGGACAGATTGGCGGAAGGGGCAAGCATTCAACGTCAATAACAAGGCAGGAGCGAAGGCGACTCTATCTGACAGCGAAGACGAGAGCAAAACGAAACGCGCAAGCGAACAACGACTACGACTACCACGACGAGCTCCACGTCGCCCTTTTCCAGCTTTCCGGATTCTATTTCCGCGTCCAGCCTCTGCTAGGTACCCTGCAGCAAGCTTCCCGTCTGCCGTAGCTGACCTTCTGCACCCCACCTCCTTGTTCTCGACACCAGTTCGGTCACAACAATAGACGAATCTCGAGGACAACCTCTTTTGTTTCTTTCTTTTTTGTTCTATTTTTCCATTCTCCTTTCTCCCGCCTTTCCTAGACGCACATCAGAGACACAATGGTACGGACCTCTCCATAGCCGGGCAATACCTGTTGGCACTGACCGCCACACGCTGCCTCAAGACACTTGAGCTCATGCAAACCTTGGGCCTCCCGTTTTGCTAACCCCTGCTGTGCCCCAGGCTACACGAGCCGCCTCCAACGCCAACCACGATGGCATGATCCACGACGTTGCCCTCGACTACTACGGCCGGCGCATGGCCACCTGCTCATCCGACCGCAAAATCAAAATCTTTGAGATCGAGGGCGAGACCCAGCGATTAGTAGAGACTCTCAAGGGCCACGAGGCCGCCGTCTGGTCCGTGTCCTGGGCCCATCCCAAGTACGGCAGCATCCTGGCGTCGGCCAGCTACGACGGCAAGGTCTTTATCTGGCGCGAGCAGGCCGGCACCTGGCAGCGCCTCTTTGACTTTGCCCTCCACAAGGCCTCCGTCAACCTCGTCGCCTGGTCACCGCACGAGGCCGGCTGCCTGCTGGCCTGCGCCTCGTCCGACGGCGCCGTCAGTGTCCTCGAGTTCAAGGACAACAGCTTCGAGCACACCACCTTCCCCGCCCACGGCCTCGGCGTCAACGGCGTCTCCTGGGCCCCCGCCACCTCCGCCGGCAGCCTCATTTCCAGCAACCCCTCGCCCAGCGCCGCCGGCAACCGCCGCTTCGTCACCGGCGGCAGCGACAACGTCCTGCGCATCTGGGCCTGGGACCCGGCCACCACTGCCTACGTCGCTGAGGGCGAGCCGCTCACGGGCCACACGGACTGGGTGCGCGACGTCGCCTGGAGCCCCACCGTCCTGCAAAAGAGCTACATTGCGAGCGCCAGCCAGGACAAGACCGTGCGCATCTGGACGGCCGACGCACAGGCGCCGGGCGCCAACGGCAGCGGCGGCGGCGGCGGCTGGTCGAGCAAGGTGCTCGAGTTTGACTCGGCCGTGTGGCGCGTCAACTGGAGCTTGAGCGGAAACGTGCTGGCCGTCAGCACGGCCAACAACAAGATTACCATGTGGAAAGAGAACCTCAAGGGCGAATGGGAGTCGGTCAAAACCATGGGCGCGTAGGTCATTACACTGTGGAGGGGAAATGCCAGCCTGTTTTATCTGGTCGTCTATTATTTTATGGCCTGTACGGAGTATTTCTGCTCTATTGACTGGGATTTGATGAATATAAATGAAAACAACGGCGAGACTTGGAATCGCGACTATTGTCCTATGTGATGTTAGCTTGCATAACTCATCAAAGCTGTCGGCATAAGGTAGGTTGATTTTGCTGAGAAATAGCAAAATGTGTCTATTCTGTTCGTTGTTGTATGTTGTATATATTAACGTTATCCTTGTCCTTTTTTTTTTTTTTAAAAAAAAAATATTTATTAAATTTAAAATCCATGACAAAAAATCTTGAAAAAACTGACCTATTTTATATTTATATTTTTCGTATTTGAATATCTACGTAGCCAAAATTGAGGCCATCTGTGAAGAGTCGTGCAAACACGAGTGTGCAACCCGAAAAAAAAAAAAAAAAAAAAGAAAATTGATCCAAGTTGTATTTTAATATCATGCTTGCCGTATCGAACGCAGTGTTATACTATATTCCAAAATCAAATAAACAACAGGCCAAGAGAAACAATGTGCAAAAGGAGATGAAAGTAAATGCAAATCTGAAAAGAAACTGAAAGAAAAGAAACGCAAAGACGAGTCATGACAAAGGAAATATGTTAAGGGAAGAGTGAATGTAATCGACAACGAGGCACACCAAGAAATAGTTTGATGCCCATAATGAAAGAAGGACATATCTTCCTCGCCGTCGTCTCCTGATTTGGGACCAGTATGACGCCCAGGTTTGCAAATGCTCGTGGTCTGGACAATTCGAACGGACGGAGGAGACAAGAACAAGAAAGAGACTCGAGAAGATCCTCCAAGGGACAGGAAAAGGTGAAGTGGGGGGTATTACGAAATGAACAATGGAAAATAAAAAACAAAGCAGAGAAAAGTGCATATGGAAGAACCATAACGAATGTCAACATGGGTACCAAATAAGCCCATGGTCGGCCCTCTGCGCCATTCCCAAGGAGGATAGTTTTATACTGTTTTTGAGTCGTTCTTCGTTTTTTTTTTTTTTTTTGTACTTTTTTATTTTGTCGTTGAACATCGAGATTGAAACGATCAGCGAAGGCCGATGACGCTCATCTCCAGGGTCCAGACCCGCCGGATCCAGACCTTGAGCGGACCCTCGACGCCCTCGACGTTGTCGAGCTGCACGCCCTCCCACCAGCACCGCCGCGCCGGCTTGCGCCAGAACAGCAGCAGCTTCTGGGCCATGCCGACGGCGTTGCTGCTCATTTCGTTGCCGCGGATGTCGGACCGCAGCCGCGCCAGCGCCAGGCTGCAGATGACGGCCTTGTTGGGCTCGCCGGCCCGGTGGCCCCAGGCGTCGTCGTGGTCGAAGCCGCCCGCCGTCAGCATCTCGATCAGATGGGCTTCGGTGGTGCCCGGCTCGTCGCTGCGTTTGAGGCCGGAGAAGATGCCGTTCTGCGCGAGCAGGGCGCGGGCGGCCGCGCGCTTGACGTCCATCATCTCGGCCTGCTGCAAGCCAGAACGGGGCGGGATGGCGTAAAAGTCGAGGTCCTCGCGCAAGACGATGATACCGGCGCGCTTGGAAGCGTCGTCCTTGCTGTTGCCCATGGGGTCGATGCCGCCGACGTCGCCCTCCGGACTGGGCGATGCGTCGGATGGAATGGATTGGGCGACGCCGCGGAAGAAGTCGAGCATGTATTGCAGCGATGCAGGGTCGTACTGACGGGGTTAGCGGTGAGAAAAACAATCAAAAAGAATGCCCATTTGAATACAGGAAAGCGCAGCATACGTACATCGACCTGGATGGCGTCGTTTTCGTTAAAACCGCCCATGTGGCCCTCCGGGAACAGGCCGTTGGGGAACAGCGACAGCAGGACGAACTCGGGCAGGGTCAGCAGCTCGTCCCTGGACAGGACGAAGCGCGTGCCCCGCAGGTCCATCGCAATCGTCTCGTCGAGGCCGACATCGCCTGATATGAGGTTAGTTGTCTGGACGATCTCTCGAGCTGAACGAGGGCCGGCACTTACTGCTCAGGTTGTTGATGGGTGGCCCGCCTTGCTGCACCTGCGTGATGATGCTCGACGCACCTCCGGCGGCCGCCATTAGATATGTGAAATAGGGGAGGGGGATGGGTTCTTCGGAGTAGGCTGGCGGCGGTTCAGAGTCCGCGCTCTTGTTGTTGCTGCTGCTGTTGCTGCTGGTGCCACGCGAGGATTCACCTTCCCGCTTCGGGTCGGATGGGAGGACACGCTTGGTTTCCTCCTGAAAGGCGAGGCCAGGTGGTGGCGGCGGGTAGAGGGAGCTGAACGAGGGCGGCTGGGTCGACGAAGAAGACGAAGACGGTGCGGCGCCGAGGTGACCCACGGGCGGTGACGGGTACCGAGGCGGAAGCAACGGCAAAGGCAATGTAGCTGTGGCCGCAATGTCCGCGTCGACGTCCACCAACTCCTCTGGTTCGACGCGTGCGTCGGTCGTCGTGGCCGTGGCTGCGCGATCGGTTGCGGGCTCGCCGGTGGCAGTGGTCGACGGTGCGCGGCGACTCACGTTGACGGCGGAGGACGGCGACGGCCCGGTTGTGGCTGTGGGAGGCTTCTGAGAGTCGGACACGGTGATGGATTGGCTGAGGCAGTGGCCTGCTGTTCGTACGCGGGGATAGATGGCCTGTTGGCTGGTGCTTTCGATAATGCAGTGGCGCAGATTGCAGGTGCTATATATCGTCTTGGCAGTGCGGAATGCTAAATTGACAAGTTGATAAAGTTGGACTGGACCTCTGGAAAATAGGGGGCGACAATACGAGCGATTGGACGGCAGAGAGCGAGGCGGTCGATGGTGTAATGGGAGAGATTCGCTAGGCGAGCGAGCAAGCGAGTGATGAGATGTGACGAGCGAGATCGCCGTACGGAGACGAGAGAAGGCGAAGAAGAGGAGGCAAAGAGGACAGGCTCAAAGTTGAAGATCCCACGCGAGAGGGAGACGAGGCGGAGGATCGAAGAAGCGATTTAGGCGGTCATCTGGTGAAGAAGGCGGCAGCGGCGGTTGGAGACAGATTCGACGATATAACAATAGGGGTTGCGAACAACGCGGAAGAAGGGCAGAACCGGCGGCGTTGGAAAGGATGCTGCAGAGTTGTGCTGGTGAGATGTGAGACGGCTTGAATGTGAAGAAACGATGGGAATGCAAGAGACGCGGAAATACAGAGAGATTGCGCTCGGGCTGGGGCTTGGGCTCTGGGCCTGGGCCGCCCTTTCCTGAACCAGATGCGCAGAGACCCACTCCAGCACGCGCTGTGATGGGGCACAGGGGCACCTCAGAGGCCAACACGCGCTGGAGCTAGACGCTAAAACACGGCTATGATTACGACGTCCACGAACAGCATACACCGCCCAGGGCAAGTTGAGAACATTGGGGACTGTTACGAGTTGGACGGACATGTTCCAGCCTTCCGAAAGACGGACGGCAAGCACAGATCAGTCGACCATTCACGGCCCATGCACGCTGCCTGTTGCTCAGAACGCTGTAATTTAAGCGCCCATATGTTGACAACGGTCCCCTGTAGTTCCATTCACTGGGCCGAAATGGGGACAGCATCAGCCTTTAGCCGCCCGCATCGCAGGAGTTCGCAGCCGTCTGGCCAATCAGAGGCCGCACCAGAGCGGAGCAAAGGACAGCTTTAATTCATCACTGTGCAGACATCTACTCTCTCCACAAGCATCTGTTGATGCGAGCGACGGTGTGTGCCAGGTAAAGCAGGCATGGCATCGTTTGGTTTATTTGAATGTTACAAATGGCGGGTTTAGCCAATATATGCATGACCTTGGCCAAGCTCCTAGTCGTCATCGTCGTCGCTGTCGCCAAACACAGCTCGAAATACATCTTCCCCAGCTCGCTTCCCTTCAAGTGCTTCGTTGTGACCAGGCTGGATAGGTACTGCTGCGGCTGCATCTGCGATTGCATCGGCTGCCGGTGCCGACTGTGGTGCAGCAGATTCCGACGATTGGTTGCTCCGCGTTGTCGTCGGCGGCGGCGCAGCCGCGCTGGAACTGCTGCTGCTGTGCGAGGTCTTGGTCCACGGCGACGAGCTGGACTGGCCGTGACCGTAGCCTGAGCCCACGTTTGCGTCGACATCCGGATGCACAATGTCCGGCGGCTTGACGCCCATTCGCTTGCACAGCAGCCGCGTCGGGAAGAACTCGCCGACCGTCCGTGTCACCGGCCCGTACATACCCATCTTGGCTGCTTCTTCGGCCGGGTCTTGCACCTTGGGCGCTGGGCGCGTGACGAGGTTGGCCGCCTTGTCGCCGTCGGCAGCCGCCGCAGCCGTGCTCATGGCCGACGACGACGCCGACGTCGATGTCGTAAACCGCGAGGCCATGAGCCCCGACATGGGTTTGAAAATGCGTGCACAATTGAAAAACTCGTGCGCCTCGCGCAGCCAGTCGTCGTCCTTCATGCCCGCCGGCTTGGGCGGCAGTGCTGGGGCAATGCCGGCCTGGAACTCGAGGTACGCCCGGTACCGCGACCGCTTGGCTTCGTTGTCCTGGTAGGGCCCGCCGCCACGGGCGCCCCGTGTAATGGCGGCCACGGCGGTCGCCTTGTCGAGCGATGGCACGGCCTGGAGAAGCTGGTCGCGCTTCTCCTGCTCGCTCAGAGCATACTCGGCCGGGATCTCGCTGCGTGCCTCGGGCAGGTCCTGGCGGCCCGTGGCGGCGGCAATGCGGTCGCGCGCCTCGGGCGACAAAAAGTCAAACACAGACTTGCCAGGTAGCTGGGCTTCGCCCAGCACCGCCGCACGCGCTTTGGGGTTGAGCGTAGATGCCTTGGCAGCGTCTGCCATCGACCGGTAGGCCCCGTCGGCCTGCACCTGCGTACCGGCGCTTGCCGTCGCCGCATCGCCGCGGGGCTGCTTGGATGACTTCCATCCAGGCGGAATCACCGGCGGCGGATACTTGGAGGAGGTGCTGGCATCTGCGGTCAATGCGTCTGCTCTCTTTCCCAGCACAAAGCCTTGCAATGGCGGGCGGCCGTCGTGGCACACCCGAGCCGCGCCCCTCCCCAGGCCTGATGACCGCGAAAAGACCACTTTGGGCTTGACAACGGTGCTGCGGTCGCCTGCTTCGCTGTTGTCGCGCAAGCTGCTGGCGTGTTTGGACTTCTTTTTCTTCTTGTCGCCGCCAATCGCACGGTTGAAGGAGATTCGCGGGCCCATATCATAAGGGTCTTCATCGTCCGACCCCGTATCGTTGAGCACGCCTAGACCGATGCCGCCCGTCCTCGCCGACTTGCCCTTTGTTTTACCGCCAAGGAACTTGGATCGGCTGAACAAGCCGCGTGTGATGCCGTTGTCGTCCCTGTCGGCCCTGTCGGCATCGTCGTCGCTTCTGTCATCGTCGTCGCTGTTGGCGTCCCCTCGCGATGCAGTCGATCCCAGCCGGCCTTCTCCCTGAAACCCCAGACCCTTGTGGTCCGTCTTCTTGACGAGCCGGATCATGGCGACATTTTCGGGCGCAAAGAGGTACGTCCCCGATTTCGTGGGTTTGCCGTCGGCCCGGCTGCCACCGACATCGAGCCGTGCGCTGCGGCGGACCTTGGGCCCAATGCCCTGCCCCTCTTTCCAGCCCATCTTCTTGAGCAGCTTCGTGCCCATGGTGTCGCCCCGCGCGCCGCCAAACAGGCCGGCGAGAAGATCACCGCTGCCTGGCCCGGGCCGTGACGTGTCGTCCGCCGTCAGGCCCAGGCCAACAAACCCGCCCGACGTGTGGATCGTGCGCGCCTCCTCGGCGTCGGCCAGGTCTTCCTCGTCCATGTAGTCCTCCGGCCGAAAACCTTGGGCGGCATGCGGGCTGTCCTTGTGGCGATTCGTCCGCGATGACACAAACGACGAAGGCGTCCATCCTTCTTTGGAGCCGACGGTGTTGTAGTACCCGGCGCTCCAGCCGCCGGTAAACGCCCCGTGCAAGCGGCGGCGGCCTTGCGCGTCCCTCACTTCCTGCTTCCACACCGGCACGTACGAGCCATCGTCGCGCACGCTGGGGTCGATCGGCGGGAGTGCGCTGCCAAAGGCGACGTAGGGCGACTGCTGTGCTTGGAGGTCGGCCTCGTAGAGCGCACGCGACCTCTTGGACATTATGGCATTCTCGGGGAATGGACGTGCGGCTGCGATCTCCGGTAGGGGAGGCGAATGATAGTCGGCGTCTCGGCGTGGTTTGTGTCGTTGAGGCAGGTCTTTTGCCTGTGCTCCAAAAGCGGAAGAAGTTCAAAGCAAGCACCGAAATCAAGGAGATCAGCGCTACTTCCTGATTGGCTCCGCCCCTGAAGGTTAGTGTGATGTGCGCCGCTGTGCTGTAAACGGAAAGCACGAGCATGCATGATTTACATTCCAGGCAAGGGCAATTCACTGCGAATACGGAAAAAGGACGTGGATGAAAAAGGAAAGAATAAGGCAAGGCAATAGAGCTCGTCCGGAAGGTACGCCTTGGAGAAGGTTATCTAGTACGATTTATTCTATCACAAGTCGTTTTGCTCCGCGACACCGCAAGTTTAGTGCTCAACTGACAAGGTTTATAGCATACGCAGCATCCCCCGTCATCGCTGACAAAAATACGAATGAATAAAACCAAAACAAGTGACAAGTCCTGTTTTCAGTTCACGTATCACGGGCCGGCCTGCTACGGTCCGCCATCCCAAAGCCAAGGCGTGACCAAGAAGCCAAGCAGGACCGCAGAGAAACGGCTGGAACCCCACCCGCACCATCCTGTTTGTCAAGGCTGGAAGGGGAAAGTGAGTATCTTGGATGGGATGCCTGGGTGAGGTATGGATGATATTACTGGAGTGGAAAGTCGACCGATCTTGCGGGGGAGCTTGAGCCTGGAGCATGGAGCCTGGCACTGAAACCTTTGGGCTTGGATGCCAGAATGTCTGTGCTTGGCTTGACAGATTCGAAGCACGGGCGTGCCCGAAAGGACCTGGCCCAAGGAGGACAGAGATACGACGTCGTTTTTTCGAAGAGGGGTTCACGTCGGCATCGGTGTCCATGTGAGTTGTGGACAGACGACATTGACGCGTCCGACAAAGTCTTTTGCGTACGACGCCGCTTCCCTCGTATTGCGCGGGCTGCCTTTTTTAGTCTCATGGTCTTGTGCCTGGATACACCCTGAAACATAGAAAAGGGTGCGTTTGCTCTTCCTATGCTTCTGAAAGATAACGCATGTTAACTGCGGCTAATGTTGCTGATGTCGGAATTCTTTGGCTCGCCAACGCTGGCCACCAAAAAAGATAAATCAGCAGAGCCTCACAGGAAGCGCAGCGCATGCCGACGAAAGGTGCCATCTCATGACTTTGTTGACGGAAGCTTGTACTTTGTAAAACGTTGTTTGCTGATCGCTTCCCACTCCGTACCATGCATTCCCTCATAAGCTATACATCGTAGTCATGACTTTGGAGCTGGGGCCAAGTCGCCAAATCCTGCAAGGCCAACCCTCAACCAAACATTGGACCTGCCACTCTGCATCTGTCCGCGCAATTGTCGTCGTGCATACTCGTGTAGCCAACTGCAAGGAACGCCACCCACGATTGGCCTGGTCCTGCTCTGCTGCGCAGTTTTGTTGGCGTCGTCTCTTGCCGTCAGTTTTTTGACCGTCTGCCCAGCTCGCCTTCGTCGCAGCCTGTCTTCTGCACGGAGCTGAGATGGAGCGCTGGTTGCCAACAGTGACTCTTCCGTTGCCCTCTGTCGTAATCCTTGTGGCTGCTTTGTGTATTATGTGCGCTGCAGCCTGCTCGGCCGCCTCCTTCGTCCAAAGTTCGCCCGTACATCGTACACAGACGAGACGCGGGCGTGTCAACCTCCCGAGACGAGACAACCAGTCTGAGATCGAATCGCTTGCCGTCTGCAGTGGTGTGTGGCTGCTGTCGTTCTTTTTGACTTTTGACGCTTTGCGACAGTGCCCAGCGAGCTCCTTCCGCGCGGTGCTGACACACATTCCAGCTGTTCGTTCGCTACCACGAGCCAGAGTTCCCAATTTATCCGCTGCTTAGCTCCTTCCGCATGTGCAGCGCCTTGTGACTAGGCGGTCTTACCCACTGCGATCCCGCCGGATCCAGCAACAGCGGCGAGTCCAGGCCCCACTACAGCGTTCGTTTGCTGGACGACATGGACTCATGGAGATGATACTGGGCAGATTCTGGTTTAGCCCAGGCGCTGCTTTCCCCGATCATCGCTCCCCAAGGGCGTCTCCATTTTCACTCCACAACGCTCCTGCACGCCCCCCAGTTTTTGTCGCCGCCTGCTAATTTGCTTCCTTCTGGGCCTCTTTGCTTGTTTTCGCGGTGGGCATCGCTCCTCGCAGGCGAACACGGTCGCGCCTTCTTCTTTCCGGTTATCGTGTGCGTTCTTATTTGCTTCGTCCCTACTCCGAACATCTTCACAAGAAGCAGCGACTGGCAAGTGCGACCTCGCATCTGCAACTGCGGCTGGCCAGGCCCCCACTCCTACTGTTTCCAGTTCCCAGTCCATTTATTCCTTCCATTCTTCACCCGCCTCTCTGCGTCGGTCCTTCCTCCACCCCCCTTAACCCATACTCCCTATCAATCTCTCAGCTTTGGGCAGCCATCTCATCCAAGTCGTACCCATCCTGAACCTTCAAAAGTACGCTCCATCAACGACGGGCAAACAACACGAGGCAAAAAAGGTCGACCCGAAAGCCAAATCGCCTTTTCCGAGCAAGACCCGCCCACAGAACGCCTGCAACAAGGGCAATAGTTCGCAAGAACCACCTACGCAGGGGTGCAGAGCCCGTCGGCTGCCGCAGCCCCCAGCACGACCTGTTGTCTTTCGACCACTGCACCAGCTGTATTTACGGAGTAGCATTGCCAATCTTACAGCTCAGAAGCCTCCCACCTGGCTCTTTGTACTCTGACACCCTGCACCACTTCCACGGCGTTCGTCTGGGTTTCTCTCACAGCTACCAAACTTCCATCTCACGCCGCACCATCCCAACGTCCCCTTTTCTCTTATTTTCTCTTATCATTCTCCGTCACCGCCTGCGACGTGCTTTCTTCGACTGCCCCTTCCCCTCCCCTCTCCTCCGCCGCCCTCCTTCTCCTCATTCTGACTGCCTCCTATCGCGAGCACACATAGCGGGCGCATCATGTCAACAAGCGTTGCACCTGGCGGTGGTGCCGAGGCTCCTCTGTCGTCGCCTCGGGGCAAGTCATACAGCAATTCCGTGTCGCGATCCCAGTCCACCCGCGCCCGGCCACCGTCTCGTGATGTCCCCACCCGTGCGGCCTCGCAGCATCATCATTCCTCTTCCCGCCAATACTCGTCTGGCAACGGCAACGGCTATGAGCCAGGCGACGACCAATACCACAGACGCAGCTCTAGCCGTGATGCCTCGGGCCAACAGGCGCCACCGCCGCCCTCTTCGTCCGCCCCACAAGACTCCTCGTCACGGCCGCATCGGCACAGCAGCCACCGCTCTTCATCTCGACACGACCCTTCCTCTCGCCCTTCCGCCGACACGAACCAGACAGCAGCTGCAGCCGCGGCGGCTGGTGCACAGCCCCAGAACAACGGGCACCAGGACCGGAGCGCCGACTCACGTGCGGCCGCGTCAAGGCCGACTAAATCGCGCACGACGATTCCCACGACATCGGGCAAATGGATTCTTGGCAAGGTGATTGGTGCTGGCAGCATGGGCAAGGTGCGCCTGGCAACCAAGGAGGATGGCAATGAGCAGGTACGATCCAATCTTTTGCCCCAGTGCTGCTGCTGCTGTTGTTGTTGTGCATATCCCACCTAGTATAATCTTGACTAACTGCGGCTCTTTGTTCATGTGTAGGTTGCTTGTAAGATCATCCCACGAGGCTCGACGGACGACAACCACGCCACGCGCGCCGACAAGGAGCGTGCCGACCAGTCCAAAGAAATCCGGACCGCCAGAGAAGCGGCCATTGTCACGCTCCTGAACCACCCCTACATCTGCGGCTTGCGTGATGTCGTCCGCACCAACCACCACTGGTACATGCTGTTCGAGTATGTCAACGGGGGCCAGATGCTGGACTATATCATCTCCCACGGCAAGCTGAAGGAGAAGCCAGCGCGCAAGTTCAGCCGGCAGATCGCCAGCGCCCTCGACTACTGCCACCGCAACTCCATCGTGCACCGTGATCTCAAGATCGAAAACATTCTCATCAGCAAGACGGGCGACATCAAGATTATCGATTTTGGTCTCAGCAACCTCTTCGCACCACGCGGCCACCTCCGCACCTTTTGCGGCAGTCTCTACTTTGCGGCGCCCGAGCTCCTGCAGGCAAGAGCCTATACGGGTCCCGAGGTCGACATCTGGAGTTTTGGTGTTGTTCTCTACGTCCTCGTCTGCGGCAAGGTACCGTTTGACGACCAGAGCATCCCCGCCCTGCATACAAAGATCAAGAAGGGGCTGGTCGACTACCCCAACTGGCTGTCCACTGGTATGTTTCTCTTTTCTTTCCACACTTGTTTTGGTCTGTCGTTCAGTTTTGTCTAACAAGTTACCACCCTGTAGAATGCAAGCATCTCATTTCTCGCATGCTCGTCACCGACCCTCGCCAACGTGCGACGATGCAGGAAGTCTTGAACCACCCGTGGATGCTTAAGGGGTACAGCGGGCCGCCGGAAAACTACCTTCCACGTCGCAGCCCCATCACTCTGCCGCTCGAGCAGGACGTCATCAACGCTATGACCGGCTTCAACTTTGGTTCGCCAGAAGCCATCAAGGCCCAGCTGACCCAAGTGATTGAGTCCGAGGAGTACCAGCGCAGCGTTCGTCTGCTTCAAAAGGAGAAGGAGCAGGCCCACCCACCCAAGGACGCCGAACGCAAGCGCGGCTTCATCGATTTCTACAAGCGCCGCAACTCGACAAACAGCCGAGACACCCTCACCACGCCTAGCACCGAAGGCCTTCCCGTGGGTAACGACCCGTTGAATGCCTTCAGCCCCCTTGTGTCTGTGTACTACTTGGTCCGCGAGAAGCACCAGCGCGACCGTTTAGACCATGTCATGCCGACGCCATCGAAGGAGAAGACAAGCGCTCCTCAGTTGCCCGATATCGCTCCGCCGCAGGCTGCCCATACCAACGCGGCAGCGTATGAGATGCCGGGCGAGCGGGCAACCGGTGGCCGGACGCGCCCTCGTTCCCGTACCCATGGTGAGGACGACCAAGTCGATCCTACAAGAGGGAAATCCTCGTCCGCTGCCACCGGTGCCGCCGGTGCTGCCGCCGGTGCTGCCGTCGGCGCCGCTACTGCCGGTGTCCTTCTGTCACCGTCCGCGAATCAGGAACAGCACGATCTGCCCAAGAAGGAGAGCACGGCCGCTGGCATTCTGCGGCGTTTCAGCACACGACGGCGCCCCAAGGAGCCCGAGCGGCTCGACAAGGACCGCTCACATCCGCCCGTCGTCCAGGTGCACTCGCCACCCGACCAGGCCTTCCAAAACAAGAGCCTGAGCCAGAGCCAGAGCCAGAGCCAGTCGCAGCATGTCCCCGCCCCGCCAAGAAAGAGCTTTAGTATTCGCCGCAGCCGCCGGGACGAAGAGGACTCGCCTGTTCCCCGTTTGCGATCGGGTAGCAGTCAGCCGGGCCAGCAGCACAGGGACCTCCTCAGTCCGCCACTCTCGGCGGGCGACCCCGGTACAGGCTACAAGAAGGGACTCGGACGGTCGACCAGCGTCAGCTCCGCTGAATTCAGCCGTCGTCGCCAGCCGATCGGTGGCTCTGCCAGCAGAATTGCCAAGGAGCCGCCCGCAACGAGCGGTTCTGACCACTCCACCATTAACGACCGGCTGCCGAGCGGCGGCGAGGCACAGACTGCCAACGCCGGCATGCACGGACGGTCCATTTCTCTGCGGACAAAGCCGCTCAGCCACGCTCGTAGGGAGAGCATCCAGGCTCGGCGCCAGCGTCGCGAAGAGGAGCGCGGTCGGGAGGCAAACGTGCCCGAGGAGACAGATGCCGAGCTCGGTGAACACAGCGGCGTTTCCAACGAGCGGTTGGCCGACTTTGACCTCGACAAGCCTGTCTACCTTAAGGGCCTCTTCAGCGTCTCGACCACCTCTTCGAAGCCGGTTCGCGAGATCCGTGCAGACATTAAGAGAGTGCTCAAGCAGCTGGGTGTGGAGTATGTTGAGATCAAGGGTGGTTTTAACTGCCGCCACTCGCCGAGTATCGATCTGAACAAGGTGGCCGATGCACCCACGAGCCCCCAGCCCGCCATGCCTGGCCACCGTCGCCGCTTCAGCTTTGGTGGCCTCCGGGCCGGCGACCAGAGCCGCGACGACAATGTGAGAGACAACGTCGAGAGAGGGCCCACGACGCCGCGGACCCCGGCAGGTCGCAACGCCGACTATTCCAACTCGGATGTCTCTGTGGATAGCGATCCCCGGCTGGCACAAGAGTCGACCAACCGCGTCATGCCGGCGGGCGAGACGACGACCCACGTCCGCAGTGACATGGGCGGGAACCTGGTACTGGAGTTTGAAATCTTCATAGTCAAGGTCCCCGTCTTTACCCTTCATGGCGTCCAGTTCAAGCGCCTCAGCGGCAACACCTGGCAGTACAAGAATATGGCTGACCACATTCTCCGCGAGCTGAAGCTGTAGAAGGCCTATGTCGGATCCCTAGTTCACTTCCTCGCCCCTCCGACTGCCGCCTTTATGAATCGTTCGCTTCTCTTCATATATATATATATTCTATTCCAAACCACTGGATGTGTTGCACAAGTCCATTCATGTAATGTATTCTTTTGTCTTTGATTTGGACAGCACCTGGCAAGCTTTTTTCTGTTCTTTGCTTGTTGGCACCTCATTCTACTTGTCCAGCGATCATACAAGCATCCTCTTTAATTAATTTTCTTTTTCTCTTTTACTTTCGTCTTTTTGAAAATAAGTCTTTGTTTTTTTTACTTGACAGGCAGCAAAATGGGGTCATGGTTTGGGCAGCAA